AGATCCTTCATAATGTGTTGGAGAGGTTTTAGTTGGGGGCTGAAGGTGACAGCTAGTGGCGTTCTGTTATTTTCTTTGTTGGGCCTGTCCTGTAGTAGGTGACTTCTGGGTACTCTTCTGGCTCTGTCAATTTGTTTCTTCACTTCAGCAGGTGGGTATTGTAGTTGTAAGAACGCTTGATAGAGATCTTGTAGATGTTTGTCTCTCTCTGAGGGGTTGGAGCAAATGCGGTTGTATCGTAGAGCTTGGCTGTAGACAATGGATCGTGTGGTGTGGTCTGGGTGAAAGCTGGAGGCATGTAGGTAGGAATAGTGGACAGTAGGTTTCCGGTATAGGGAGGTGTTTATGTGACCATCGCTTATTAGCACTGTAGTGTCCAGGAAGTGGATCTCTTGTGTGGACTGGTCCAGGCTGAGGTTGATGGTTGGATGGAAATTGTTGAAATCATGGTGGAATTCCTCAAGGGCTTCTTTTCCATGGGTCCAGATGATGAAGATGTCATCAGTATAGTGCAAGTAGAGTAGGGGCATTAGGGAACGAGAGCTGAGGAAGCGTTGTTCTAAATCAGCCATAAAAATGTTGGCATACTGTGGGGCCATGCGGGTACCCATAGCAGTGCCGCTGATCTGAAGGTATACATTGTCCCCAAATGTAAAATAGTTATGGGTAAGGACAAAGTCACAAAGTTCAGCCACCATATTTGCCGTGACATTATCGGGGATAGTGTTCCTGATGGCTTGTAGTCCATCTTTGTGTGGAACGTTGGTGTAGAGGGCTTCTACATCCATAGTGGCCAGGATGGTGTTTTCAGGAAGATCACCGATGGATTGTAGTTTCCTCAGGAAGTCAGTGGTGTCTCAAAGATAGCTGGGAGTGCTGGTAGCGTAGGGCCTGAGGAGGGAGTCTACATAGCCAGACAATCCTGCTGTCAGGGTGCCAATGCCTGAGATGATGGGGCGCCCAGGATTTATGGATCCAGGTTTATGGATCTTGGGTAGCAGATAGAATACCCCAGGTCGGGGTTCCAGGGGTGTGTCTGTGCGGATTTGTTCTTGTACTTTTTCAGGGAGTTTCTTGAGCAAATGCTATAGTTTCTTTTGGTACCCTCAGTGGGATCAGAGGGTAATGGCCTGTAGAAAGTGGTGTTGGAGAGCTGCTGAGCAGCCTCGTGTTCGTATTCCGACCTATTCATGATGATGACAGCACCTCCTTTGTCGGCCTTTTTGATTATGATATCAGAGTTGTTTCTGAGGCTGTGGATGGCATTGTGTTCTGCACGGCTAAGGTTATGGGGCAAGTGATGCTGCTTTTCCACAATTTCAGCCCGTGCACGTCAGCGGAAGCACTCTATGTAGAAGTCCAGTCTGCTGTTTCGACCTTCAGAAGGAGTCCACCTAGAATCCTTCTTTTTGTAGTGTTGGTAGGAAGGTCTCTGTGGATTAGTATGTTGTTCAGAGGTGTGTTGGAAATATTCCTTGAGTCGGAGACGTCGAAAATAGGATTCTAGGTCACCACAGAACTGTATCATGTTCGTGGGGGTGGAGGGACAGAAGGAGAGGCCCCGTGTCATAAATATAAAGGGAAGGGTAAACCCCTTTGAAATCCTTCCTGGCCAGGGGAAAGCTCCTCTCACCTGTAAAGGGTTAAGAAGCTAAAGGTAACGTCGCTGGCACCTGACCAAAATAACCAATGAGGAGACAAGATACTTTCAAAAGCTGGGAGGAGGGAGAGAAACAAAGGGTCTGTGTGTCTGTCTATAGTTGGTCTTTGTCGGGGATAGACCAGGAATGGAGTCTTAGAACTTTTATTACGTAATCTAGCTAGGTATGTGTTAGATTATGATTTCTTTAAATGGCTGAGAAAAGAATTGTGCTGAATAGAATAACTATTTCTGTCTGTGTATCTTTTTTGTAACTTAAGGTTTTGCCTAGAGGGGTTCTCTATGTTTTTGAAGCTAATTACCCTGTAAGATATCTACCATCCTGATTTTACAGGGGGGATTTCTTCATTTCTATTTACTTCTATTTTTATTAAAAGTCTTCTTGTAAGAAACTGAATGCTTTTTCATTGTTCTTAGATCCAAGGGTTTGGGTCTGTGGTCACCTATGCAAATTGGTGAGGCTTTTTATCCAACATTTCCCAGGAAAGGAGGGGTGCAAGTGTTGGGAGGATTGTTCATTGTTCTTAAGATCCAAGGGTCTGGGTCTGTAGTCACCTAGGCAAATTGGTGAGGCTTTTTACCAAACCTTGTCCAGGAAGTGGGGTGCAAGGTTTTAGGAAGTATTTTGGGGGGAAGGACGCGTCCAAACAGCTCTTCCCCAGTAACCAGTATTAGTTTGGTGGTGGTAGCGGCCAGTCCAAGGACAACGGGGGGAATATTTTGTACCTTGGGGAAGTTTTGACCTAAGCTGGTAAAGATAAGCTTAGGAGGTTTTTCATGCAGGTCCCCACATCTGTACCCTAGAGTTCAGAGTGGGGGAGGAACCTTGACACCCCGAGATAGGACAAATTCTTCTGCTGGGTTAAGAGTATAGTTGGATAGATTAATAATATTGCTGGGTGGGTTGAGGGAACCATTGCTGTGGCCTCTTGTGGCATGTAGTAGTTTAGATAATTTAGTGTCCTTTTTCTTTGGTAGAGAAGCAAAGTGTGTGTTGTAAATGGCTTGTTTATTCCCCCCCCACCCCCACCAGTGTTCCTCAGACGTTCTTGTTAACTCCTGGAAATGTGCTGGAAATGGCCCACCTTGATTATCACTTCAAAAGGTTTTCTCTCCCCCCACCCCACTCTCCTGCTGGTAATAGCTCATCTTAAGTGATCACTCTCCTTACAATGTGTATTTTTTCATAGTCTGTGTGTATATATAAAATCTGCTCACTGTACTTTCCACTTTATGCATCCAATGAAGTGAGCTGTAGCTCACGAAGGCTTATGCTCAAATAAATTGGTTAGTCTCTAAGGTGCCACAAGTACTCCTTTTCTTTTTGCGAATACAGACTAACATGGCTGCTACTCTGAAACCTGTCGCTATATTGAAGCTTCATTGTGTTAGTTCCTGGAAGGCTTCACCAACATTAGAGAGACTAGATGGGTGAGGTAATGTCTTTATTGGACCCTGTTAGTGTAAGAGACAAGCTTTCGAGCTACACAGAGCTCTTCATCGGGTCTGGGAAAGGTACTCAGAGGGTATGTCTACAGTGCAGTGACGCACCTGTGGCTGATCCTGGCTGGCTTGGGCTCACAGGGCTGTTTAATTGCAGTGTAGATGTTCAGGCTCGGGCTGCATCCTGAGTTCTGGAACTCTCCCACCTCGCAGGGCCCTAGAGCCTGAGCTGCAGCCCAAACCCAAATACCCACATCACAATTAAATAGTCCCTTTGCCCAAGCCCCACGAGCCGGAGTCAACTGGCATGGGCCAGCTGTGGGTTTTTAATTGCAGTGTAGACATACTCAGAGTGTCACAGCTAAATACAAGGTGGAACAGATTATTTAGCCTAAGTAGTTAACACATATCCTAAGGGGCCATTCAAGATGAAGTGGCCCATTAACACCTCTGCAGTCGTAGGACAAAAAATAGGGATTAGTAGGTTACGGATGGTTGTAATAAGCCACAAATCTGGTGTCTCTCTTCAGTCTGTGATTTTTAGTGTTTACCAAAATTATTTAGGCTCCCAGGCTCATCTTTTGAAAATGTTGGGCAGATTTGAGAGGGCAGATATGGAGAGATCATTTTGTGAAAAGAATTCACCCATGAGTGATAGTGTTTTTGTCTTTTAACATTTTTCTGTGTGAGTTCATTTGAGAGCGTAGTGTTTGTCTCATTTCACCCACATAGTTATTACTGGGGCATTTAGTTCTATGGATGAGGCACATCACGTGTTGTGATATGCATGTGTAGAACCCACGGAACTTGAAAGGTGTGTTGCGGGGGAGGGGGAGGGATCGATCATCATAGCAGTGAAGATATGTCAGCAGGTTTTGCATCTGTTGTTCTGGCAGGGTGTGGTGCTGCTTTGGGTTGTGTCCTGGTTGGTGGGGAACTTGCATCTTATGAAATGCTTGTTGAGGTTCGGGGGTTGTTTGAAGGCCAAAAGAGGAGGTTCAGGAAACATTTTTCAGGATGTAGTCCCCATCAAGTGTGGGTTGTAGTTGTTTAATTACAGTGTGGGGTACAGTTCCAGTGTGGGGATACCAAGTGACAAGTTGGGGTGTGTGGTTGGGGGAGCTTTTTCTTCACTTTATTGAAGCAGGTTCTCTTGGGGTATTTGGGTGGCCTGTTCCATGATGCAATCTACTTCTCTGGTGGTGTGTCCTTGTTTGATGAAGGCAGGTTTAAGTTTCTTAAGGTGCATATCTTGGGCTTTTATCCTGGGACCAATCTCCAAAACATGTCCACACTGGGGAGAGAAGTTCCACAAGTCACCTACAACTCTGCATAACAAATTTGACCTTGTTTTAGAAGGTGGGTGCTTTTATTGTAGATTTTCCAAACTCCCTAAGCATTTTATTGAACTTCGAAAACAAACAAACAAATATTTTCAGAAGTGAAGTTTAGAGGATGATTGGAAATACACTTTCTAATGAGAAGGTGAAAAATACATTGGCCAGAGTAGGATGATATAACCAAGATCAACCTCAGAGAAAATGTGCACAATGAAAAGATTTCGCAGAGCACTTAACAGGAATAATACATATGTAATTTAAATATTGTAGCAACCATTCCACGTGAAGATAAAGTTGCTTATTTTGTTTCCTTGTTCTGTGTTTGTGCAGCACCTAGCACAATGGGATCCTGGTCCATAACTAGGGCTCCTAGGCACGATGGTAATACAGATCATTCATACAAATAATAATATCAGGGAACATAAACAGTAGAGGTTGTCATAATTTGATGCTCATAACTTAGAGTGTATAAATGTACTTCCTGTTAGGTGTTCCGGTTAGTGCCGTTGTTAAGTCTTATCAGACTTATGACACTGTTCTGAATCTTTCTTGATTAGATGCCGTATTCGCATTTCAGCTGCGCAACCCTGTCCACAATGGTCATGCTCTGCTCATGCAGGACACCAAAAGCCATCTGCTGGAAAGAGGTTACAAACATCCTGTGCTTCTGCTTCACCCTCTGGGAGGCTGGACCAAAGAGGATGATGTGCCACTAGCGTGGCGAATGAAGCAGCATGCAGCTGTGCTTGAGGAACATGTCCTAGACCCAAAGTCAACTATTGTTGCAATCTTCCCCTCTCCCATGTTGTATGCTGGTCCAACAGAGGTAATGTATTTCTTAAGTAACAAACAACACCTTGAAGTATTCACAGAATTTTAAATCCATAAATATGGCTTTATTCAGAGAACTGACACAGTAAGTGACATCTGAGGTACCCTATTCATTCTTCATCAGTAGCTTCCATATCAACTCTGCTTACAGTACAAGTCCGATAAGATTTGCTAATTGACAGGATTAAAAGATCAGACCAATATCTGAAAAAGTCCAGCTGTAAATTTTGCTTCATACATCATCAGATTAGATTTTGCCGTACTGCAACCTGGTAATCTGGACATAATCTAAACACACATGACTGAAAAACAAGGAGTACATAAGAGCCATTTTTATTGAGCTATGTTTCAGGCAATCATTTTCATATAGTTACTTACATTTTTCCCCGCTTGTGCCAGTCTATGTTGTAGCTTAATTTGATACAAATATAAATACAACTTTTTAGCAAAGTAATCTAAAAGCAGACTTCCTAAATGATAAAACTGTCCCACTCATCTTTGAGAACCTGTGCTATCCCCCAAAGCATCAGTGAATGAGGGACTTTTTAATAGTCATACAATATGTTTACATATTTCCTTCAGTGTTCACCACATGAATGCACCTTTGTTTTATCATCACATTAGCCAGGGGTTCAAATTTTAAAAAGGCTAGACCTCACAGAAATACCAAGGTCTGCCATCTGGGCCTCCAGTACTGGCAACTTGTTAAGTCTCCCATGAGTTTTCCCTCCTTCTACCCTGAACCATCTGAATTCCCCCAATAGGTCTATTCTCATTCCTACCCGCTTGCAGGGTATAAATTCTTTACTTTGTAGTGCCCACCACTCAGTCTATCTGCCTTCCGTTCCTGCTTCCTCCCTCTACTCATTTTGTGCTGGACACTTTATTTGGAGGCAGTGGAACTGCTATAGATAACCCGTGGCACTATCTCCTGAGAGGTCCACGTTGGCAGTGACAGCTTATAGAACTGGCCTGTGCTGAAGGTGAAGGCTACACAAGGCATGGTGGAGATGTAATGGGTAACTGGGCTTTTGACTCCTTATTAATTTCCACTCCTTTGGGAGTTTCTGGTCATGGACAGTCATTACTTCAATTTTCCCCAGTAATTCTTTCCCTAAAGCTAAGGAATAAATATCCTGAGGTAGGCAAATGTGGAGGTTAGGGTAAAAGCACGAAGGAATCAGAACTTTCCTCACAGTTTCATATGCTTGTGCAGCATATACCTGTCTCAGCTGGGCAGTCACTTGGCTGCAGTGTAGGAACCTTCAGCCTCTTCCTTTCACATGAGCTTTTACAAAAGTTTGTGCCTCGTGGCTATTAAATAACTAGGAAATAGAACTACAGTATTATATAAATCCTGAGAGAAAGGAATAGTAATTTATTTTGGGGGGAATTACTTAGCCTTTTAAACTAGTAATTTCAGTAATACTAGCATTATTTACACAGCACCCCAGGGGTGCAGGACGTTTGGTGGTTATACATTTTTTACTGAAGATGGACTGTCTCAATTTCTATTTAAATATTGAGAGGGTGACAAAAGGGAAGGGAATATAGCTGAGCAGAGACAGTGTACAGATTGTGAGGCACAGAGAGTATATATATATCCAGCCACATTCTGTGCTGCCCCTTGCAGGTGAGACAACTCAAGAGAGGTCTGAGGTGCAAAGGTGGCTTTACTTTACCTTTGCATCGCTGGGATTCTAGGCCTGGCTGGGGTGCTCTGTCTGGCCTCCTGGAGAGGCTGGGGCAACTCTCATACGTAATCAGGACTGTGGCAGTCAGTTCTTGGTGGTCCCAATAAAGAGAGGAATTAATATTAAAGTAATTAAGGATGCCCTAGTCTTTCCCATTTCACAAGAGGCCCCAATTATCCAGCCAGCCATACTTAAGTTATGGCATATATTCAACTATTAGTAAATAAAGAGACTTGTAAAGTGTTCACTCTTCAGCCTTTTCCAGTTATGGCCTCTCAGTTTTCATGCATCATTTCATTTAAGGAGTTCTGTGATCAGACAGAGAGAGAACAAATGATCTCATGTACTCTTACAGCCGTAAAAAACAGAACAAGATCAGTTTCTCTCTGTACAATTTCCACTAGATGCATCCTTTGCAGAAATTTAATTTTAGACCAGTTTCATTTTATTTAAGTAGAGGAAGTGAAAGCAGTGGTAGATGAAAGTGAAGTGGGTAAATCTATAACCAGAAACAACAAATAGCCTGCTGAAGAGTGTCATTCTTTTCATGCTTGTCCAAATAAAGACATTGCCTAGCTTTTAAACATTTTTTATTAAAGCAAGACAAAAATATTGACGTGCTATGTCAAGTGTCGGCCTGCATTTAAATAATGGTATTTGTGTTGCACCTTCACAGGTTCAGTGGCACTGTAGGGCTCGAATGATTGCTGGAGCCAATTTCTACATTGTGGGCCGAGACCCTGCAGGCATGCCCCATCCAGAGACCAAGAAAGATTTGTATGAGCCCACACAAGGAGGGAAGGTCCTTAGCATGGCACCAGGCTTGGCCTCTGTGGAAATCATTCCCTTCAGAGTTGCAGCATACAATAAAGTAAAAAAGGCCATGATTTTTTACAGTCCAGAAAGGTAACACAGTGAATGATGATCTGCTTTAAAGTAGCCCATATTATATTTAAATAATATTTAATATTTAAAGGATTTCTTAAGGGTTGAAGTTTAGCAGAAGAAAGGAAAAATTTTGTAGTATTTTAGATAACTTGGCTGTAAATGAAATAAAAGAACTAAGGGATGAAAACACCTATGTGAGGAGTCTGTTTGCCTGCCAGCACAGGACACAACACCCAGACAAAGGAGTTAGCACATATGAAACTAATGCTATGCTTGATCTTCACCAAAAAGGTTAAGAAACAACAACATTTAGGAAACAGTAGAAATACTTCTCCTTATTTTTAGAAAAGTATTTTATATTTAATAATATAATGTAATAGTGAAAATAGAGGTCCTTTATTTAATAGAGGTCCCGTTGCTTCTTATTGCTGCTGGTAAATTTGCACATGTAGATAAAAATTTGTGCCATTAGTGCTTACAGAGTTAGTGAAGACATCGCAATTTTCAGATTAAATTCTGAGGATAGCAGAAAAAATAAATTTGAAAAGATTTGGCTTTGATGCACTTAAGGAGACTAAATTTACTGATTTCATCCATATATCTGTTCTGTGGTAGGCACGATGAATTTGACTTCATCTCTGGAACACGCATGAGAAAGCTTGCTCGAGAAGGCGAAAATCCACCTGATGGGTTCATGGCTCCAAAAGCTTGGAAAGTCTTAACTGAATACTACAAATCACTGGAAAAAAAATATTAATTCTACTTTTCCTCAGAAATATGGGTATTAAGAGTGAGCTCTTGATTGACTGATTTACTGTATTACAGATCACTTAGTTTGCATTTTCAATATCCTAATGGTAGGTTAGAACATTTTCTAATAGGGTCAAATTGTTTTTGAATGTATGTATTTTGGGCCTGGCTCTTCTCCCACTAAATTATTGGTAATTTTCCTTTCAACCTCAAAGGGACCAGCAGCCAGTCTGTTATTTATTTGGATGATTGTCCAAAGCCATATTAGGACTGACCAGTTGGACATCTTTAGTGATGTCCTAGTGGTACACCAACCCCCAAAGGTACACAGTTTGACCTTATAGCCATGATGTAGTTACATATCCCTTATGCTCTTTAAATCAGTTACAAACTGGAAATAGGAAAGAAATGATTGACTATATTTCCCTTATTCCTTAAGAAGCCCATCTTCTGCAATGGGCAGAAGGATTTTCTTTCGCACATATCTGGGTTTCTCTTGTCCACCACACACCCCTCTCTTTCTAATGCCTCCTACTTAAACTTGGACTTTTCAGTCAAGAAACTGAACTAAGCTTTATTGCAGCTCCAAGTTTAGCTTTCTACATAAAAGACACAATTTAAAGCAGCCCAGCTTGAGTGCCAGTGTGAGGTTGGGAGAAGTGGTGCTTTAACTTTTGAGTCCTGCATTGAGGGCTCACAGTGGCACTTTCCCTCCCCACCAAGAACTGCGGGGGAGCTGGCCTGCTTTGACTGCAGGAAGCTGTACTAGGAGATGCATGAGGCCCTTAGACTACTCTCACTTCATCTGTTTTGTACCAGTGTAATGCCACTGACCACAGTGGAGTTATTTCTGATTTACACTGGTGTGTATGATTTACACTGTATGTGATTTGAGAATCAGGATCCGAGTTCAGCTTATTGAATAAAGAGGCCAAGTTTAGGAGGGGACAGTTTAAAATAGTCTCTTCACACCCTAGAATGTCAAGCTAGCGCCTCTTTCTTGCCACTTTCTATCCTCTTTTCTATAATAAAAGCTAATTTAGTCGAATATAATGCTTCCAGTTTCCAATAGAAAAAGAAAACAAACTGGCCACAACCTGTTTTGGAAAGGCCATTTTGACTCCAGGAGGTTTGGGAAAGGTGTCATTGAGAGAGCTAGAAAAATTGATTTTGCTATACAGTAAAAATTTTAGATGTAGTGTTTAACACATGTTCCCTTGCTTATGCTTTCCATATAGGGAGGATAGCCCCCCCTCCCCTCCCCCACACACTTTGTCCTTCTGAAAGATTAGCTTTAAACATTTGTTTTTCAAATTATGCATATTTACTGTAACTGCAGTAAACCCCTCCAGGCTGTGCATTAACAGAGTATGAAAGAAGACACTCTCCCATCGGTTTCATGCCCATAATGTACAAAAGTCATGGATCAACAGCCTATTAATGCCCATCATGTTGCAGCTTACTGCTGTTCTAAAGAGAGGAAAGAAATAAGGCCCATTCGTTTTATCACTGTCTGCCAGAGATTGGGGTGTGGGTGAGGAACAGTTGGCTGAAGCTCTATCTAGAAAAAACAGGAATGCAAATGGCAGATGGGAAAATATGGTGAATTGTACGTGCCTCCTTAATGGAGAGTGTGTGTTGCCTGTTGTTGCTTCAGGTGGTAAGCTGGAGGCTAGGATCTCCAGGTGCTATTAGACTGGGATGTTGATGGTTTTTTCCCCCCATCTGTATCTGGCCAGGAGGTTGCAACAAGTTTCTTTTGGACATGAGTCTGGCTTCTGTGATCACTTCTTGTTTGCCACCTTGTGATTACTAAAGTGAACTCTTCCTTGAGCTGCAGCATAAATCCACCTGGAAATGTAAGCTGGTGCAGGATGTAGCTGATCACTGGGGAAGCAGGCTCACCATGCACAGACTGTACTAGTCTTCCAATCTGCATTAGCTGCCATTGTGTTTTTGGGTGATATCGAGGTTGTTGGCTTTCATCTTCCCTGCACCTGCCATATTTGTAGTCAGCAGAGGCATTGTGTACACTGGAGACCCCTCAGTCTAGAAGAGAAGGAACTGTTAGCAGGTTGTCCGTGTGGGGACCCAGGCCTAGACTTTGTAACTCACTGCAGTAACTCCTCACTTAAAGTCGTCCTGGTTAACATTGTTATGTTGCAGATCAATTAGGGAACATGCTCGTTTAAAGTTGCTCAATCCTCCCTTATAACGTTGTTTGGCAGCCGCCTGTTTTGTCCACTCTGGCAGGAAGAGCAGCCCGTTGGCGCTAGCTGGTGGGGGCTTGGAACCAGGGTGGACTGGCAGTCCCCCCATCAGCTCCCCGCTCCCCTAAGTTCCCTGTGCGGCAGCTGCCCAGCAGGCTATCAATTGCCAGCAGTTCAGCTGTCCTTCCCCCCACTGTTGTGTGCTGCTCCTGCCCTCTGCCTTGGAGCTGCTCTCCAGAGCCTCCTGCTTGCTGGTGGGGAGGAGAGGGGGACTAATGTCAGGGTGTCCCCCTCCCCCTGCACCCCGCTTACCCCATCTCCCTTAAGCAGGGCTGGGTGGGAGGTGAAGACACTGCAGGGCTCAGGACAGAGGAAGCTTCCTGGCAGTAGCTGCTGCGGTCTCAGCTTGCTGATTAACTTAACAAGGTAGTGTACTTAAGAGTGGTGTCAGCGTACTTAAAGGGGCAATGCACATCTCTCTCTCTCACACACACAGGGTGTGTCTCTGTCTGCCAGGCTGTCTCCCCTCCCTCCATTCGTGCTGCCTTGTAGAGTGTGAGGCTACGTTAACAACCATGGGTTAAGCCTTGAGGGCTCAGCCAATTGCTAGTTCATCATTTAGCAGTAAGGCAATATCCCACCCTCTGACTCCACCACCTCAACCAAGCTTGGATTTGCTTAACATTGTTTCACTTAGTCGCATTTTTCAGGAACATAACTACAATGTTAAGTGAGGAGTTACTGTACTTCCCTAGTGGCTCAAAAGCCCAAATCTGTTGACTTAGGCTTTGGAGGTGTGTTCTATCTACTTTCATGGGCTTCTAGGAAGAAGAAAGCATATGAGAGCTGCTGAAGTAATGGTTGGTATTTACTGGAGACTTGTAGGAGCTTATTACCTCCATGAACATGATATTGTGTTATTCATTTTCTAGGGAAAATATACACAGTTATTGTAGGAATTAATGTGAGTGATTTCAGTCTCTGATCTTGCAGATTTATTTTTATATATCTCAGAATACTTTAATGGGTGTCCAAAAACTGGTTAAAAGGTGTTGAAAATGAAATTAGCATTCTTCTCATTTTGCAGTTTTAAATGTAAAAAGATCAATATATAGTAAAACAATCATGCTTCTGCTTGTAATTTAGTTTAGTAAAATATATAATTAAGTGAAATTGTTTTGCTGTGCCCATTGTGCAATGCACATAATTACAGAAGCAATTCAGAATGTTACTTTTCAAATATTTCCAGCTTCTTATTGCTTTTAAAAATCTAGAGTAAGGAATCAAAAGTTGCATTATACCTCAAGAAATTAAATACTACAAATGTAACACAGGAAGCTAAAAATATATTAAACAATAGTGCCTTTTATATTCAGGCCCTCTGGCAGGGAACTGAAAGAGAAAAGTAATACTGTGACTTTTAATTAATATTTGATATTTTTAAAAGTGGTGTTGCATTTTTTTTAACCTTAAAACAAAGAAGTGGTCTGTGAAAAAGCAGTAAACCCAAACGGTTACAGCAAAACAATTTACTACACTATTTTAAAGGAATAATTTGAGTCCATTCGCTAGTATTTTTATAGTATATTTATTAAAGACAAGACTGGAATTTGTGCTTTGACTGATGCATCTCATGAGTCATAATATATTCTGAACTTGACACTCTATTAAACATTCACTTTTAGTACAAATATATATTTCTATGTCTAAATATTTGCTTGTCATTTTGTGAAATTTTTTACCACCTTTTTTTGCTTTCTGAAATGTATTCACATCGAGACTTACCTGTAAGGGAATGCAGACTGTCAGCACTGAATTTACATGAGTTCTCCACTGCCATGCTACTCCTGGCCTTCTAATCTCCAGGGGTTTGGCAAGCATGGGAGAGTAGCCACTGAAACTGTGCTAGAAACTTATTGGATCAATACCAGCAGAACCTATTACAGCCAGTTTCCTGAACTATCCATGCCTTCTTATTACTTTCTTATAGCATGGTTCCAGCATGAGGATTAACATAGGTATGCAGGCATTTTATTTAAAAAATACCCCACACATAGGCCACACTATTTCCAACTTTTTAGTAACTACGTCAACCCCACATCAGATATAAAAAGCAATTTGGGGCTATCTGGTTTGCTCAGTTTTCAGACTCTAACCTATGGGCACCTACATGCTGCTGGGATCCACTTCCCTATAAAGCAAGAATAAAATGGAGCAGTGGAAATCTTCACTCCCGTCTTGTAGAAGCGGTTGATGTGAAAAAAAATTGCTACCACCAAGGTGAAGGAATCAAGTAATTGGGATTCAAGTGAGGGTCTTATACCACCCTCCTCACTGTTCCAAGCACTTTCCTGTAATAAGTTAAATAATGTAACCAATATCTGTCACATGTGGTTTGTTCTTGCTCTCATCCTTTACCGAGCGGTTGGGCAAAATTGTGTGTGTGCAGTGTAGTGTTATGGCACTTTAACGTTTTACTTTTTTTAATGTGCACGTTAGTGTGTGTAAGAGGAGGCAGGTCAAAGAAGGTAGCTTGAAGTAGTGCACCTTGCGGTGGTGAGGTTTGTGATGGTCATTGGTACTTATGAAAGTTCATTCTAGTCTAGGACTAGCCCCTGAGAAAGTTTGGTCTCCTGCATGCATGAACTTTACCCTTATGGTGGACAACTCCATTATGGCCAAGGAACAGTTGTAGACTACAGTTCTCCTGAAGCTTTGGGCACCTTTAGATATCCAGGCCCAAGCCACTGAGTATATTGAAGAAAAGGACAAAAACCTTCAACTTAATATTTTATGGGAAGGCAGTGTAGAGAGCAGAGGCCAGGTTTGATGCGCTTAGAATAGCCAGCATTACTGAGGAGATGCCCTACAGCATTGTGTACTAGTTGGAGTTTCCTAAGAGCTTCATGGCCGGCTACAGTGTATTGCAGTAACCCAGACAGGAAGTGATGATGTAACTGAGGCCAGGTCATCATCTGCTAGGAGAGGATAGATTCTTCTGGCCCACCAGGTATGGTAGAAAGCATTATGCACTGATGCTGGTGTGAGTTTAGAAGTGGTGAAGAAACCCAAAGTACCCCTACCCTGAAACTGACCAGCTGCAACCTTCACCTAATGAAGGCTGAATGGTGGCTGCAAGAGTATCATCGGTCATGGCCACACAAGAGAAAGCTATAATCTCAGAACTCTACTTTCTTCCCAAAGACACAGAATTGCTCCAGTCAGGATGCCAAGTGGCATTTTGCCCTCAGAGCCGGGTGAGGAAAAATCCCACCATGAAGGGCTCTCCCCTAGGTCACTGAGAAGTGCAAATTTGTGGGAAAGGTGCTCAGGGCTAGATGGTGAAGCACTCAGCACCAACCACAGGGACTAAATTTTCAAAAGTCCTGGTAAGTGAACGGTTAAGAGTAAACCACTTTCTGCTCAGAGGATGAGCCGATACACTTCAGGCACCATGATCCCCTGCTTATTTATGTACCTAGTTTGGGTGAACTGTTGTCCCTACTCTTACTCCCAAGTACAGGACGAAAAAGCTGAAGTTCAAGCATACTCTGAAAGAGAATCTTAAATAGCAGAAGGGCAATTCAAGTGGTGTTCTCCAGAGATCTATATCAGTGGTTTTCACTCTGTGATCGATGGAGCCCTGGGGGTCCATAGACTGTTTAAGACTTCCAAAGGTGTCCACACCTCCATTTGAAATTTTTTAGGGATCTGCAAATGGAAAAAGAAAAGTTGAAAACCACTGATCTATATGAATCCTTCACTGAATAGCAAGGTCCTTGTGAAAAGAAGACACCAGGATTTCTTCCTAGACTATATCATTTGATCAGTCTTTTAGCTACAGACTACTACTGAAGCTATGATGGTTACTGAGTGGAGTAGGAGGAAGAGACCCAAATGAAATCAAACACACGTCACACAGTATCACGTTCAAGGGGACAGGGAAAAACAAACCATTGGGTCCAAAAGGGCCTGGTTCAGCAAAAGCATATAATCGTGCTTAACTTTAATTAAAATCAATGGGACTGCTCAGCTATTTAGAGTACCCCGAGGTTTAAGGTTAAGCATGTATTTAAGTGCTTTGCTGAACTGATTCTAAAACCACAGAAGTTAATTTTAATATGCTGAGTGTTACTGTATGTAAGGTAATGGGGGAGGGGGGGAATCACAGTACCTAATGCTTCACTAAAAATATATTACTTCTGCTGCATTTTCCTCATCCACAAATTTAATCAAAATTCAAGAACAACTAAATTTGCCTGTCATTTGTTCCTTATAAATCCCTGCTGCTTTTCCTCTAGATGTTTACAAATTCTCTCACTGCTGGTTCTGTTTTTTTTTTCCTAAGGACTCGAGAGCTCCCCTTCCCGTAGGAGGAATTCTTTTAAAAAGGATAGAATTCTCTGTTATTGGATCTCCTCAACTATTGTTTGAGGTTTCTATAGTTGAAATACTTGAGATTAAAATGCCAAATACCCCAAATTAGCGTTCTTTACTGTGGCATAATCTCATTTCCCTTTCCCACTATGATTGAAAGCTATGTGCATTTACCCTAGAGCTTTCCAGTGTCAAAAAAGGAAACCAACATTAGACTGGAGAAACGCAGTCTTTGAGAGGAGGGGGTGGGAAAATGAGTTGCTGAGTCAAAATAACATCTTTTGAACAGCTGATATGTAACAGAGTTCACTGAAGAAGTTCTCAGAGAAAAGGGACTTTTTACATATTATAAAATACAGTGGTTATAAACTTGATGGAATTTCCATTTTTAGCCCTTTATCTCCTAGGGTGGCTGGTTCAAATTTCTTTATCTTATTTTTAACTTGTTTTCATGCTTATTTAACTTTCCTCTTATCAGTAGCATATGCTGGTTGTCCGTAACATACTTAGGTCTGAACATCCTGGCTGTTAGGTTAGGAAGTATATATGCACGTAATTAGTGCACAGTTCATAGTGCTGCTATAAAAAATAAAGGTACACTTTGTTTAAACAATATTAAGCTTGGAAAAGTTTTACATCTTACATTATCGATCTCATATAAATTTGTTCTACTGTACTTGTTGGCAACAGTTTAACATTGCTAATTCACAATGACTGGGAGACCCAGGTCGAGTTTCTCAGCTTTGCAAATTAGTGTATGAGGAAACAAAGAAAACCACCACAAAATATACTTCCCTCTCCAAGTTAAAATAATGCTTGTGATAATTCATAGCATCTTGTAAAGATATTGAAATATATTTTCTAAAAAAGAAAAGGAGAACGAGTGGCACCTTAGAAACTAACCAATTTATTTGAGCATAAGCTTTCGTGAGCTACAGCTCACTTCATCAGATGCATTTGAGTTATGCTCAAATAAATTGGTTAGTCTCTAAGGTGCCACAAGTACTCCTTTTCTTTTTGCGAATACAGACTAACACGGCTGCTACTCTGAAACCTGTCATATTTTCTAAAGAAAATGAAGTCATAACAACAGAACCCCTGACTAGTGTATAATAAATCAGAGCCACATTTTTTAGGGAATTAGAACATGGAGGGTTTAATGAAAGACCAGTTAGCAAGGTTATTCACTCAACTCAGAGAGGAAAAATGTAAAAAAAAAAAAAGCCTAATAGCAGGATTTCATAAAAAATGAAAAATATTCAAACATTTACTCATTAGTTTGCTACCTCTACTGAATGTAGACTTAAAACATCAATGTGAAAGTCACCAATACTTCAAAGTTGTAAAATAAAATTTGAATTCAAACAGAATTTCTGCCTTTTGTATAAGTTTCTAAAAGTAAAAAAGGTAAATGTGCACTGAATACAATAGAGTCTTTTAATCTATACATCTTCTGATTTAATTTCATTCAGTAATTAAGTAAAAAAAGATTTTCCATATTCAACTTATCTACAGATTATGTCTATATATAAAAAATGTGTGGATATATACACTTAATATAAACACACACACGTTCATACATATATACATGAACTGGTATTCAATCATTTTCCACTTCCCCTCAAAAACATGCATCAGCTTAGAACCTACTTTAAGGCCACTACAACATATTGGTAATTGGACAAAACACAAGCATTCACTCTTGGACTGGACTATATTGTTCCACTTCATGAGCTGTAGACCACATCTATTTCTGTAAGATTACCAGATTTCAATAATTTAGAATTCAGTGTATAAAACCCCTCTGGAAATGAAACATTTAACTCCCTTATTGAAAGAATATCCCTCCCCCCACACTCGTTTTAACTAACTGATTACAGCGCAAGTCACCAAACTAGGCCACATCAGAAACTGCAAACACACTGTTTAGTCTTAGTCTAAACTAACATGCATCAAAACATTCTGAAGTGTTGCATCTTTTGACTTCCTCATCTTCTCAATTGCCCTGTGCAGATCCAGCTGTTGCACTGGCCGAATTTCATCTTCATCATTGCTTTAAAAAAAAACAAAAAACCCAACAGTGATTCAAATGTTACATAATTAATCTGATTTACATGCTGTAAAATAATCCTCAGCTATACATACAGTGCCAGAAACTACAGAACACTCAATAGATAATGTCTGGCTATATCAACGGATGTAACTGACCTAACCAGGGGTAGGAGAGAAGTGTTCACAAGAGCTATTACTTGCTGCAAAGTTCTGGAATTACGTAATGTAACACAGGATCAAGGTCTATGCAACACAAGGGTGTGTGGGTTCCTCTTTAGGTACCTTACTGTATTGTTAAAAAAAGTTCTGAAATTGTGAACACTAAAATAAGGAACTCATTCAACAGGAAAGAAACCTATTTGACAATCTAGTTTGGCTCTTTATAAAATGTTGTTTAGCTGTAATTTTTAAGGAAACTCTGGACTACTTACTGTTCACTAATTTCTAGTTTTTATATATATATGGAGAATTAGTTCTCCAACTAAACACATCAAATGTCTTTTGTTCACTTTTCAGTACTAAACCATGAAATGTAGCACTCAAGCTCACCTTGGATTTGGACTTAAGGACATACAAAAGTAAGCCTGAGGGCAGTGATCCTGTAACAGAGGCAACGGAACCTTTACATTAGAATGTATAGTTTAGTGCTTTGAGAAATGCAGGGGGTGCATGACTGGAATCTGTATAATTCAAGTAGCCACATTTACAGCCTATGATTACACACAGGGACCGATCCTCCAAACATTATACACAGTGTAACTTTATGCACATGAACAGTCCCATTAAAATCAATAAAGTTATGCCCCATCTTGTGTGTTCATCTTTTACCATAATATTTCCCAATAGTACTGAAGTAATTTTCATACTGATTTATTACATCCATAACCAAAATGAAGTGATTTATTCACTGAATTTGTGTGTGTGTGGAGTGAGGATTGGTGTAGAGAAAAACCACCACTGGTTTCCATCATTTGTTTTGTTTTTAAAGCTCCTTCTTAACATTAAAACTGAAGACACAATTATTTGTAGCGTCTAGCACAAAGGGGGCTTAGTCTCAGTCTCGCAGCCATAATACAAACACCAAGAAGCACCTTTCTTCACATGTAGAATTAACATATTCCCTGACGCACAGGAGTGCTGCATCACGACACATTTCTTTCAAATCACTTCCTGAAAATCCATCTGTTTCTTTAGCAATTTGCAGGAGGTCCACATGCCTGTCCACCTACCAGAAAATAAAGAAATGGGCATGAAAACTTCAAAGTCAGTAAGATATTTTACAAAATATAGAAAAGAAAGTCACTATTAGAGACTTACGATCTTTAGATTTTATTAGGGTTTTGCCTTTGAGGAACTAAAAGGAAATGTTAGCAAAGTATAATCACAACATAAAACAATTACTTTCTACCTGGGAAGCAACGACATGATTAGTAAAACTAAAGTTTCACTAACAAAACTTTATAGTTATTAAAAAACTGGCAGCCACTGGAAGGCAGTAATTACCTTATTATTTCTCCTGTACAAATTTAGAGTGCTGATAGCTGAAGAGGACAGGATCCCCCTGACACAAAGTCTTGAAGAGCTTCTATGACCCTTTTTAGGGCTTGTCTTTACTAGCAAATTATGTCATGTTAGAACACAACTGTGAAGAGTTATAAGTATCAGCTCAGTGTTAAATATGACACAGCATGCACTATAGACAACATCCGGTAACTACCAGTGGATACAATGGAATCACAGAAATGGTGATCCAATTCTTCTACACCCACACTCCAACATTAGCCTTTCTTTACAAGGGGCTGATCCTACAAGGTACTTAGTGCACTCAGGTCCTTATATATATGTAATACAAAACAAGACCTAGGCATAGGCCTATAAGTATTATTTTATTTTATTACATGTCTATCAACACACAAATTTATTTCTCAGACATTGTTAGAAAGTGTACATTTAGCATTCACTTTTCATTTTAATGAACACTTTTGCCACTTCACACACTAAGTCTGAAAAATCAACTGACATATTAATATTTTCTGTTGGCACCTTTCATCACAGAATATCAAAACACATTAAAACCAATTAATTTTAATAGTGCTATTCTGAGGTGGTGAAGAATTATACCCATGTTACAAATAAGAGAGCTGAACCGTTGACAGGCAACATAACTCGTCCAAGTTCATGCACCAAGTCAAGCAGAACCCAAAAGCAACCCAGGAGTCTTGACTCCCTCTTGATAGTTCTAATCCAGATCTCCCAACTTTAAACAAATATTTTCCATCAGAAAATGGCGTCTTCTAGAAGCTAATCTTTTTACATAGATGCATCAGAAAAGCAAGTGGAATGTTTTTTTAAATTTCTTTATAGACAAATTAAAACTACAATGCTTCAAGTACATAAAAAAAATCAACATTAAGGAACATGTTCAAATAAAAGGAAAAAATATTTCCTGAAAAAGGAACAATCTGTGTCTAGAAGATTAGCCTGCTCTAAGTCTAGAGGCTTTGATATGACCCATCACATTCCTTTCAGTCCTAATGTCTATAATTCTATGGATTTCCCAATACTAAATCCATCAAACTTAAAATCATCAAGTTTCAGCCTTCCTCTAGGACTCATTTATGTTGACACTTTTCTTTTAAATATCAATTCTGTTTTCATATCTCTAGTGCTCACTTATTTTGCTGGAAGGACCTTATATTCCAACTATCACCTGCAAGCAATCCTGACAGTTTATGAAATGTTTTCCTTCTTAATACTTAGCCATTCATAGCGATCAACTCCCATATTATACCACTAAAATTGATGAGATTTAAAATTAGTTTTACTTCTGAAATGTATTTGTTTTATTGTACAGTCATTAATCTAGGATGTTTTGTAAACTAATATGGGAATTACTAATATGGTGGGTTTAAATCCTGAAAGTTCTCCATGCTCGGAACCATGATCTTAAAAGGGAGTTCCACACAGAAGGCTGGCAGGACGAGGCTGTACGTTTTGTCAACAGCAACAGTGGTAAAATTGTGTAAAAATACACAGATGTGCCAAGTCTCCTTGTTCCTTCTCTAGTCTGTGACATGAGCCCCATATAAAGTACTGAAGATAAATGTGAGGCAACACTTTTTCTTCCCGATGAACAAGCAGGAGGTAAAAGCAGCACTGTCACACATTGCCACTTCCCAGCTCAACTAGAGAGAATGCCCTTGACAGAGAGATTGTATAATTTGCCCTAAACCACAGTGAATCGTTGTCAAAACTGATATTAGAAATCTAATTTCTCTAAAGACAGTTTCATGCTTAATCTATTAAACTACTCTACCTCTGAAATCTGAGGTCACACCCAAATCCAGAAGCTTCCCAGTCATAAATACACTGCACTCAAACACTGTCTACCAGCATGTTTCTGATTATAATCCATACAATGGTCAAAGATGGTTGGTTCGAAAGCATGTTTTTCAACTGCCCTGAAGGTTTCCACCCATGGCCATGATAATGCATAGAAATATTTTTTCAAACGAATGTGTTACTTACATTTTCATTTTTCAAAATCAGTTTCAAAATCGCCTCTCTCTGTTTCAGAGCCTTTAAACAGAAACAAGATTTCAGTCATTATGGAACAAAAAGAGACTGATAGAGAGTGTGACATTTCTTTACCTATTAAAATAATTCAACTGTACATATTTATTTTGCATCTTCCATGCCCTCCAGAAACACAGGTTGATCCCTTGAAATGAGAGGTCAGTTTCCTAGCATGTATGCTACTGATGGCAATGGTGCTATTCAGCACCAAGATATCAAGTCTACTTTTTATCCCTTGAGTCCAGGAACACTGTTTACATTAATTATAGGGAAAGAAAAAAACTAGCTGACGAATACTTAAAATCTTACTCTTCCCTGAATGGGACTTGTACCCATGTAACTATCTTAGGGTTTTCTGCACCCATCATCCATAACAGAGGACTGGTCCCGCTGGATCTAAAATGGACATTATATATTTAATATACTTTGTTAATCACATAAGCAACAGGACAATCACCATTGCTGCAAATGCTGTTTTCAAAAGTCGCGTTGATTCTAAAGATCATACTTGAGAAACTTCCTTAAGCAATATTAGTCACGCATTGCAATGAAGTTATTGACAGAAGATGGGTAAACACTGAGCATAGTTTTACTGAGATCAAGATTGCAAAATGTAAGTGTTGAAAAAACTGATTCATATCTGCCAATGAACAAGTTTATGCCATTTAAATCCGCTTCCATTTATAAAAATTGAATTGATTAAATGTAAATTGCAGAATACTTTATTATAAGCTTCAATGCCTACCTAGGAGTTTCTGGCTGCTGCATCCCCAAGCCCTGCAAACACCTTTTTCTTACCTACGGAGTGGCCTTGGGTATTCACAGCTGCCAATTCCCCTTGTTTATTTTGGATTAATAAGCTACCCTGAGGGAAAATAATTACTTGGCATAGTAACTGTGGTGCTCAGAGATGACTGTCCATACTGAACCCCACTCTTGAGATAAATGTACTCTGGAGAAAGAACCTGGAATTTCCAGAGTACTCTCCACTGTGGTTCACACATCCCAAACAGCATTCTGAGGGAATCAAAGGGGAAAACGCCCCAAACATCCTTTGGTTTCTTTCATTAATTAAAAGAATCCTTCTACAAAAGTCTGAGATGATTGCCCACATGGATCCACACTCCCTATTCACCTTTCCCACTTCAGAGAACCACAGTTACCATGGTAAGTAACTTATTTCTGTTTCAAGAATCACCTGTAAGGATCCCCTCGCTGAGGTTAATGGGTAGTAGTAACTTTCCAGGTTGGGCATCAGATGAAGAAACCAAGTTAAACTATGTGAGTACAGAGAACACAAGAGCCTTATTTATAACAGGAACACTGAGTAGGCATCTGGTAGAATTTGAGCATTCTCTGATAGCTTTAGGTGGCTGAACAGCTGCCAAGACTAACCATGATGGAAAGATAGTCTGATATATTTTGACGACCCCTGAGCTAAGATATGCTGACCTTTGGTCTTATAGTCAAAGATAACTGCCAACAACTTCAAGAAAAATTGAACAGAAGTGTACATAAATTTACATGCAGGGGTATCAGTGCTTTTAGTTGCTCTCCCCTTGGTGTGGACGAGCAGAATGGAAAGTATGCACCAACTCCATTGTACAGGATGAGTGCAGGAAATGGGTTTCGAAGCTACTGGTGGCACAAGGAGTTCGTTCCAGCTAAAATGTGTACATCTCGAGTTTCTCATGGGAAATTTCACCCTAAAAAGCAAAAATTATCTGTACTTGTGAGAAACTGAAAACAAGCCTTAACAATACTCTCTGGTGCCGTTTGCCTGGGCAGTGAAGACGTAGGTCTCTCATTTGATACAGTACAAACCTATTGCTAATCCACTAGGCAAACGACCCAACATTATTTAAGACAATTTGCTCTGACTTACTGGTTGGTTAATGTGAAACCTCGTAGGCATTCTTCTCATAATGGCAGAGTCAAGATCCTGAGGGCGATTGGTAGCTCCCATCACTATCACCTTAATACAGAAAAACAGAATGATTAAATAGCAGAGAGAAATTATTTCAAGAATCATCATAACGGGGATTCACAAAACAAACAAGCCAAATTGGGTAGCTGTTCTACATTCCATCAAGCAAATCAGCCTATAGAGAAGTTGTGTCAAGCTTTCTGACACTTGCTCTAGCAGCAGGATTTAAACAAACATATTATGAGGTTATTTTACACAGCTGGAAGCAGACTAGTTAGTTCAAAGTATTTTGAACCTTTCACCTCTAGTTTGCAAATTCAACTTCAGTCCAAATCAACAGGCAGAATGTAACAATTTTTGGTCACTAACATTTGGACTCTGTGGACAAGTTCTCTCCAGAACTAACAATGGGGAGGCATTTTGGTAAGCACTCTCTCTTTTCCTATGTAAATAAAAAGCAGATTGGATTCCAGGACTAGCAATATAGCATTTTTCACAAGCATTAAATTCACTAAAAAGAATGTCTGATTTTTAAAAAACCCAAACAGCTGAAAAGCCAAAATAAACTAACTGCTTTTGTATTATTAACTGGATGTGAAGCTACAGGAAGCTTTACAAAGGTTTCATTTAATGTAATATGGATGGTTTCAGAGTAACAGCCGTGTTAGTCTGTATTCGCAAAAAGAAAAGGAGTACTTGTGGCACCTTAGAGACTAACCAATTTATTTGAGCATAAGCTTTCGTGAGCTAAGTGAGCTGTAGCTCACGAAAGCTTATGCTCAAATAAATTGGTTAGTCTCTAAGGTGCCACAAGTTCTCCTTTTCTTTTTGTAATATGAATGCATCTTATTTTATAATCCATATTTAAGACAGGAACAATATTTACATCATTGGACTACACCTCAACTGTCATTTTAAGAGCAAAGTTACCTACAGTGTACACATCTCATTTTCTCTAAATTATGTTATTCTAAATGATGTACATTGCAAATGCTCAGTCACAAAAAACATGAATGTCAAAGAAATTAATCCCATATAATTTTAGATTCCTAAAAGCCTGTTGTTTTTAGCTCTCTTATTTTGGATCTTTGCCCCACAACTGGCCTTGGCAAGTTGAGAGCTATGCATCAGAGCTATGTTGCTTTCATGGGCTAGAGTGATGCTGCCATCTAGAGGCACAAAGTTGTGGCTCAAGTTACCAGACAGTAACATGGTAAGCAGACATTAAAAAAATTATTTTACGTTCAACAAAATATTGTAAGCGAAAGGTTCATTTAATAAATGGTCCAACGATATTTATTAGACCACATATAGAAGTAGTTAAGGGGTCAGATTCTCTGGTCTGTACATGACACAGCATCAGGAGGTAAAAACCACACTTATCCCTTGCTCCTGGGGCCAGCCAGATGGCAGGCCGTACCTTTGCAAAAGTCAGAGAAGCTTGAAGTTTGATCCAACAATTCTCTCTGCTGGTGGCTCCAGGGGTCTTTTTGGCAGCAGGCCAATCACCTGGGCATACAGGTGCCCTGGCCACATCACCTTTCCTCTGGGAACACAGCAGATGCACAACATAGCCACTAAATCAGCTCTATGGCATCTGGATATTTTCCTTACACAAGACAAAAAGATGACCAGATCTGGCTGCTTTTTTCTGAGGCCAAAATCTAGCCTCATATTCTAAGTATGAATATAAACATATCACCATTCATGCAAAGGGAAGCTTGGGGACAGGCTGAAATCAATTTAGACTTTTTTTAAAAAAAGTAAAGATAATTAGAGATTACATTGTAAAGTTCAATAACTACTCTTCTCTCTTCTGTGTCCCTAGAGAAACTCTGCCCCTTTCTTACAACATAGCAGATGAACATCTGTTGTAACAGCAGGAATGACAAAAACAGACTTCCCTCCACCTTCAAGACAGGGAATGTGATGTCATCTGCAGTCACACCCTCATCTAAGGATTCCCTCTCCCCCTCAGAGGAGTTCTAGGGCACGGGGCACTGAGGAAGACAGGCTGCAAGGGGATCCTTCTTGCTCTGTACTGAACCACCAGATGTCAGCACAGGGAGAGACTGTTTCGGTGCAATCCAACCTACACCAATTTTGGAGCCCTAATAATTCTTTGCCATCCACCTTCCCCTTCCTGCTTCCTCATGCAAGTGGCACAATGCATAGCTTCCTAACTCCTAAAGGGAGTTTTAGATCCCACTACTGCTTGTATCTCCATCAGCAAGGGAAAACGCACAGACAATTTGCTACACACAAAACTCTCAAAATTTCAAAACTAATTTCTGAAATAAGTCTATAATTTAAAAACTATTTAATTTAGACACAACAGGCTGTACATTGTGCACAATACTGTTCCTTCTCAGGTGCACTTGAAGCAGGAGGCAACTAACAGGGTCTACATGTTGCCCATCACGTCTAACTGTTTAAGTTACTGAGACTTCAGTACATTTTCCTCAGAATGTTAAAAATTTTACAGCAATAATAAAAGCTGGAATGAATCCTTACTATCAGAGGGAATTTTGTTTAGATCCAGACACAGCATAACACTCCCAACTAAATATTTACCAATAAAACATTTTGAAGAAATTGTAACGGTCAGCTCTCAAAAAATATGGGGCAGTCTTTAAAAGTGCTTTGGACATTTCAAAATCATTATTTAAAGAAAGATTTTTCTGAACAGTATGAACTGCAATATGGGAAGAGCCTGAAAATGGACATGTCCAATAATTCTCAAAAATATTTAGATATATTTTCACAACCAACTCCCAAAACTCTCCAACCAGGTGCTTTGTACTATATTTTACTTTAATGGGGCTCCCACTGTGCCAAGAAGTATGAGTGAGGGGCCACAATGACTTCTTCAGGCTCAGGAGTGGAAGCACAAGATCAGATATATGTTTTACTGAAGGAAAGGAATGCTTCATTTCACTGTTTCCAAGACACTTTCACAATGTTTAAAGAGGCATTGTGTTAAAAACACTGGGAAGAATCTGTGCCTTAGGGAACATCAGGTTACTCACCCTTAACTTCAAGTTCTGTGCGGTGTAGTTATTAGCACTAACATCCTATTGACAAATTGTATAGTTCTGTTCCTTGCAAAGCAGCTGGTCAACAGCTATACTTAGCCTATATGTCTTTGAATCATAGTATGAAACCTCTGCGATAAAGTTACTGGTTGTATTCAAGATGCATGAGAAGCTGGATTTCAATTTGACTGCCATTCTGACAGATTTTAAAGTTAAACTATAAAAAGATATAGTTAAAACCAGCAGTGAAACAGAGAAAAGAAAGCTTGTCTAATCGGGAAAAGAGTACTCTTGGGCATTGGATGGTTCAGGGTCCTTTTTATGGGATACAAACACTTTCAGTTCTAGAATGCCAAATTAAGTGCAGTCTGATTGCGATTACCATCCAATGACTGCTTGGTGGTCTATGTGAAACAAGTACTGTCATCTGTTCAGTTCCTAGTGGATTAATTTCTACATGTAAAACTATCACTTCACTCTGAGTACAGAAGTCAAGCATTTAACAGACACGGAGAGAGAACTGCCCTCTCAGCCTTACAAGGAGGTTTCTCTGAGTAAAATTTGAGAAATGTTGATAGGATGGTGCCCTCTCTCTCTCCAAGTGCTCTAAATGACAGAATTTCAGACTCTCACAAGTACTTTTTACAAGCAGCACCAACTATTATTTTCTAATTTGATATTGTTACCAAAAGTTAGATGAGAAAGGAAGGGTTGGATAAATGAGGCAAAATTCCTGCTCTGGTAATATCAGCTTCCTGAACTTTTAAGTTTAGCCCAGTAAGCGTAAAGATTATGCTTCTGTTGGAGAAGCAGCTGGGCTGGTGGAGGGAGGATGTCTAGGCTTTTCTATAGTGAGTATTGAAATAATTGGGATTAATATTCAAATCTTTCAATAAGGGTCCTGGCGTCTAAGATTTAGGAGTCATGCAAGTGAATTTCAAAAGGAACAGTGTGGGTTTATTTCCTTGCCAGTTAGACAGGCCAAGAGTGGTTTGTATTTGTCTTAGCTGTTACGTTTACCCTGAAACAACTGTTCATGTGATTCTGTTTCAAATAATAAAGCTTCAAATTTAAATAATCTCAAATATTGTGGTTATATTATTGGGGGGAAAAAAACCACTTTTTTAAAGTGTCTATAATTTACTATTGTCCACAGTAACATGAATGCATGAAGTGATTATTAGCATAGGATTCTTGTTCCGACATATTCTGCCATCCAGCAACAAAATAGAGAAATTCTTCTGCCAGCTACTATGTTCAACAGACTATTTTTAACTAGTTCCTAAATGGAGAAAAAAATTTATTAAGTTTCTCAGTGAGAATTATGGTAGGTTTTGTCTTATTTTTTTAACTCACTTGGCAACTATAGTCAGTGTCCAGACCATCCCACAGACTCATGAACTGAGCTTTCATCATAGCTGTAGCTTCATGATCAGAACTTGAACGGCTTCGTAGAAAGGAATCTAAATGAAAAAGATTCAATGAGCATTATTTACCTTCACATTCAACCATAGCAACTATTATATTTCTCAAGGGCAAATTTATAAGATTGTAAGATTGTAATCACAAAAGAAAAATAATTTAGGACCAAGGAGAGAGATGCTGAATATCACTGAAATTTTAGTCAGATCTTCTCAGTTACATTATTTAAGCACTATGTAAGTACATGAAATATCGCATGAAACTGTCTCAGATTTTGTGAAATAATCCCAAAATATTGCAGAAAACCTAGAGGAGAAAAATCTGCATTTGCCAATGTTTTACTTTCTCAGGTATCTTACTAGCACTTCCTATATATAATTGGTATCTTAGGCAGCTTCTATTCCTAGATATGTGAAAAAATGAATTTTCATCCTTGCTCCTCCTGAAGACTATTACGCTCCCTCTGAGAATACGACAACCTAAGAAGCTATCAAAGGAGACTATTACAGCATAGTTGCATGTTTAATGTAAAGCGGCCCACCCACTTTTCATGCAGCGTTCTAGCTCTACTAATCAACTCCAGAAGCATATACTGTTGTTAAAAGAGTTAATAAGAGCGCTTCCAGAAGGAAAACAGATTGTCTTTGGAAAAAGACTCCACCATAAAATGAAGTTGGAGAAAAGTGGAAGTTTCACTACATGTTTCACAGTGAATCTTGCTTCTCAGTGTCCCATTTTAAGAAGTGCTTGGTGAAAAAGAGAATGAGCAATTTTAAATGAAGTGTTCTTGTTTCACTTTCGTATGGATTCATGACTTCGAAGTTAAAAAGACAAATCCTCATGCTCCTAATAACTAGCACTTCTGCTTTCTCCCTAATCCTTATATAGATTTTTGTTTGTTTTAAATTTTCTTCTTCCTTCCACCCCATTCTCATTTGTCCTCTTAATTCTTTAAACTTTATTTTTATTGTTTTATATATATAAAAAAATACATAAATACATGCACAGGATAGAAATAGCATATAAATAACAAAATTCAGCGTTCATTATTTGCAAAACTTGGAACAAACAAAATCACAAACCAAAACTGAACCCCTAGAGGTCATGTAGGGCATAACGTAGGAGTATCAGGAACTAATACATACTAAACTGCAAAAGTATTCCATAGTTTCATGTTTAGCATATCTTGCATGTAAATACCTTGCAATGCCGGCTACAAAAGTGCCATGCAAATGCCTGTTTTCACTTTCAGGTGACATTGTAAATAAGAAGTGGGCAGGATTATCTCCCATAAATTGTAAACAAACTTGTTTGTCTTACTGCCTGACTGAACAAGAAGTAGGACTGAGTGGACTTGTAGGCACTAAAGTTTTACTTTGTTTTGTTCTTGAGTGCAGTTACGTAACAACAACAACAAAATCTACATTTTTAAGTTGTACTTTCATGATATAGAGACTGCATTACGAATATGGTATGAGGTGAACGGAAAAATATTTCTTGTTTATCATTTTTACAGTGCAAATATTTGTAATAAAAATAATTATATATAGTGAGAATACACTATGTATTCTGTGTTGTAAGTTAAGTCAATATATTTGAAAATGAAGAAAAACATCCAAAAATATTTAATAAATTTCAATTGGGATTCTATTGCTTAACCGTGTGATTAAAATTGCAATTAATTTTTTATTTGCAATTAATTTTTTTGAGTTAATTGCGTGAGTTAACTGTGATTAATTGACAACCCTAATTTTAAGATGTATAACCTTACTCTAAAGATACGTATGTCCCCACTGATATTGTAATACCACATCTCTAGGCTATCATCTGTGTTTATACATATTAGATATTGGTTAGTTTTGAATGAATTTTTGCCTTCAATTGAACCTAAGTGTGTCAGGTACACAAAAAGATCCAGAGTTAAATATGTGTCTTCCAAAGTATATTTGTAACAGAAAACAAAAAACCCCACAGACTTAAAACAAGCCAATGTGGGCATGTTCAGATCCCTGACTGCTTCAGTTCCCTCTGCTCCTGCCTATCCTATATTATCTAATAATATTCTAAACACAAATATATTTAAGTAATTTGCTAAATCAAATATAAATTAGTACAAAACCTAAATAAATATAAAAAAAAGTTTCATATTAATTGTATGTCAGATGCCCTGCACACATTGAATAACTAGTGCTCTTTAAGATTACATATCAGGAGTATGGATTGTTCCAAAGGATTTGTGGTTACCATAACGTGATCCATCAGAGGTTCTAGTGAAGAGGTTCTGTCTAGCTGTGCAAGTTGTGATGATCAGTGCAGATAATACTATAATCAGTAGATAGTTCTATATCACCCAGTTTAGTGTTAATCTGTTACTCTCTGTAGTGCTACACAGTTGTTACTGCTCAGTTCCAAAAGGTGGTCAATAGAAGAGTTCAGCCTAGCAGGTTATCTGCTCCAAGTTGGAAGATTATATAAGTGAATATTACCATATTCACAAGGATACATAGGAAAACAAACTGATTTCTAAATTTGTTGAGGTACGCTTTTCATGATAAAAAAAAATCTGCTATTTTTGGTCAAATCTGGTTTCAGTCCGCCAGACTTGAAGTGTCTGCCAAGTTTCAGAGGGGCGTTTGCAAAATCTTGTGAAGCCTGCTAAATCCACAGTGAAGGTGAATGGGTACTTGATGCTGCATCTGACAGTGCTCCCCCATAGGATCTGCTGTATGCCACTGAATGCAGGGCTCTTTTTACTAAGATCAGAGAAGTCAGAAAAGAGAGAAATTCTGTGGCCCTTATAATAAGGTTTTAGCTTTTCTGGCGCATTCATTAACATTATTTTAACCTTGAACTTCAGCAGCTTGAAGATGATGGGTCTGGGCCTGTCAGACTCCTGCCTTTTAGTACTAGGCATCTGATGGGCCCTTTCAATATCTAATGGCAGCTAGGGTCCATGGTGATGTCCACCCCCCACAAAGCAGAGCAGGTTAAGTGAGGTCAATTAACCTGATAGGCTGCACCTGGGGGAGAGCCAGTGCTTGAAAGGCTGGTTGATGATGGAGCCCCGCTGACAAGGAACATGCAGGGCAGATATAAAGTCAGGAAGTTGGCAGTGAAAAGGGGCTGAAAGTGAAGTGAGGTGTTTTGAAGCTATAGAGCTAGGTAGTCTACAGTTAATGCCTGGAAGGAGGGAGTCTGGGTTCCAGTCCCAGGACTATGTCAGCAACTATGGTCTGCTTGCTATTTACCTGTTGCTTTTTCCCTGGACACTTTCCTACTTCTCTTGTGACTCCCCTGCTCTCTGGGTTTACTAGACCAGAGTAGCAGGCTGGGCCAGATTCCTCTATCAGCCATTGGGAAAGTGACACAGAACCTGGCCGTGGATTGGAAGACTATCTGGAGCAGATGAAGACAGCTGATCCAGTGGCGCTTGGATAGCCTGGAAGGGAAGGACTACATAGTGACCTGGCCAGATGGCTGAGTCACAAAGAGGGAACACCTAAGTTCCAGAGACAGTGAGAACAAGAGGGGAAACAGTGTGAGCCACTATCGAGAGGGGGGCAACAGACCTGGAGCTAATCTCCAGAGCAGCCAAGAAACCATGGAGCTAATCCCCAGAGCAGCCTCACGGTGAGTGAACCCCATTACAGGGGCCAATTTAAATATGGTATGGAGCAGCTTCTGAAGTGGATACTATCTTTCTCCTGAGTGAATCATTTGGGATTTTACATCCCATACATCTTTAGAGAGGACATAAATATCCTTTGACATAGAATTTATCAGACAGACAGGATTCATTCAGTGCCATGATATCCTGGGCTAGATCTTGTTTTGCTTCCCTCTTCAGCTGCTTAGGTGATTCAGGCTTAGGTCTTTCGTTGCTTCTCACTTTTTCATTGGAAGCACTTTGAAGTTTATTCAGGAAATTAATTTACATTTATGACCAACTTATTCCCAATTTGCTAGGAAAGTAATTACAAGAGATGAACGGATATGTGGGGAGGTCTGGGACGAGGCAGCTGTCTTTCTCATGGGTACCATACAACTGTTCTGTTAATTCTAACCACCCATTTCTTTGCAGTCTTCTAATTCCAAGCCCTTAGCTTCCTCAACATTCTACCAGCAGAAGGGATAGTTTAATCTGCCCAGGCCTTTCAGAGATAACTACGTATTTCAGGAAAGCCTTTCTTCTCTAAACATGAGCTTCCTAAAAGGTCCAACTTAGCTCCGTGGAGAGAGAAAGAACAGTGGTGCTGTACCCCACCAACATATATTTCCAGAACTGACACTCAAACTGGGAACTTCCATTCACTGTGTTTCTCCTATAACTAACCCCAGGTGTAAATTCACAAACAGTAACTACTACTGCTGGAAAAGCTTTTAAGAAAGGCTTGTTAAGAAAGACATTTATAGGGATAACTTAACTTAAAATTTAACTCTTATCATAGGACTTCTGCAATATGAGACATGCTACTTTGACATGGATGCTCTTCAATACTATTTACGCTATTAAATCTTGTTTTATTACCATTTTATTCTGTATGCTAATACAAATGTTTTCTCAGAATTAGTGTTATCAGACACATCAACTCACATTTAAAGTTTAATGTTGCATTTCTGTGACTAAGAAAAAAAGCAGGTATGTTACCTATTTCATCGATAAAAATGATGGAAGGTTGCAGTTTTATAGCAAGGGAGAAGACAGCAGCAGCCAGTTTCTGAGACTCCCCATACCATTTATCAGTCAATGTTGAAGGCTGGAGATTAATAAATCGACAACCGGCTTCCTTTGCTGTAGCTTTGGCAATCAGAGTTTTACCACAACCTGGAGGGCCATAGAGAAGTACTCCTGAAAAATAACAGTATTAACGTTTTAGGGTCACTGGAAGGAAGGAAAGACCCCAGTGTGACTAACATAGTGATATATGAACTCCTATTCTATCTAGCAAAAAGAAAAGGAGTACTTGTGGCACCTTAGAGACTAACCAATTTATCTGAGCATGAGCTTTCGTGAGCTACAGCTCACTTCATCAGATTTCCCTAAGGCTAGCATCTGAGTACCTTTCAGTAACTACCACCAAACTCCATGTACACAATTGTACTGAAATTATTGTATTGCCTTAATATAAAAAAGCAATAATTTCAAATTATCCGAGACTGCTTTACCTTCTTTTCTTAGAGAAGAGCTAATACAGAACAGCTCATTTTAAACTTAAGAAACATCTGAAGCTTTGATTTGTGCCTATTAGTTATAAGTAACACTCTACATTACTGACAAGTTAGTGGGCAAAAAAAAAATCTTTTTCAGTTTGCTTACTCGGGGCATTTGCTAGGGCTTTGTTTATAGTCACTCTACCTTCCTGAAAAGTCTTATGAAAAAAATCTGTAATGAGGTAAGGAAATCCATATAAGTTATTTTAAAAGCATTTTTAAAAAATTCCATGCATATTATTTAGTAGTACATACATTCTCATTTTTCCCCCTAAAATTAGTCAATTCACTACAGTTTCCTGTAGTGAATACCTTTTCTTATTTTGTTAGACTTAAATGGGTGTTCTCTATAAACACAGCTGCAGAAACTGGTGAGTTAGTTTTTTCTTAATTTAAATGTTTTTGAGGCTTTCTACATCTACATAAGGACAATTACTTAAGAGATGCATCTCCCATCTTCATGATTTAAATAACTGATAAAATTGAGGAGCGTGGTCTGTTTGGAAGTTCTACATAAATAGTCCTTTCTTCATCTTATTAAAGCACATGACCAAACACCAATTTTCCAGCCAAGATGAATTCCTAACAAGCGGACAATATTTTGTATAAAACTGTAACATTTATTACCGAACAGAACAGAACTGAATGTTTTAAGGGGACAACTGATAGATGTACACAATAATTTATTATACAAAGAAGGCTTTCATATAATACAAAGAAAAGATGGAAGAGATCTTGTCAATAGAAAATAAGCCTTATACTCTTGTCCTCCTATCTAACTACTTAGGTCCAAAGTTTGCTTTCATGTACATGAGTATAAAGCAATTGTGACTAAGAACTTCAGCGGAGACACATCAAATTTACAATACTATAAATAAGAGCAGATTTGACCTTTTCTCTCTCAGGTTGTGTTGAGTTGGCAGTGAACTTATCTAGCTAAACACCAGAGAAGGAGGGATGAAGGATCTACATATTCACACTTGCATTCCCTTACTGGAGATCTGGGTCCAGAACAGCCAAAAGGGACCTGCAAAATTAGCTTGCAGTAAGTCTTCACATTTAAGGGCTTTGTTTCTATCAGTGCACTGGTATCCTTATCGAAGTGTGGAAACATTTCCTAGCATATAACAGAGCTATATCTGATCTCCTCAAAAAGAACAAAATGAAATGTAAAAGAAAAAAAACAACCAGAAATCCAGAATTAATGCACAAGCTGGATGTCTCCTGGAAATGCGTATTGGGATTGGTAGAACATGCATGGATATGACTTCAATAAAAATTGACATTATACCAGCGTTTCCCAAACTTTTTTGGCTATGGAACACTTTTTAGCCTATTACAGAACACTTATAATATTATTTCGTAGTCGTTTGGTTTTTTAAAAAAAATTGCATTTATGCTCAAACGTATTTTATAAAACAAAGCAAAAATACAAATTTAAAATAACTTGAACTGACAATTTCTAATTGGAAAGCGCATTCAAAGTAGTACAAAAATCAATTCTAGATTCTTTCATGGAACATCTATTCACATTGTGCGGAACACAGTTTGGGAAACGCTGCATCATACAATAACGAAGAAGACTGTTTATGAAGTAGTGCAAAGATCTTGGCCGTTTGTTTGTTTTTAGTCTCTCTCAAAATTGCAATAAGGTCATTCTATAATGTCAATCCTCATAATTAAAGTGATAGAAAAATACCATTCTGAGGAATTAAACTTTAAATATCAGGTTGCGATTTGACTCTTCTCCTTAACACGAGGTACATCATTTCTAATACCCAACTTGTCTGGAACAGTCCTCTTGAAAGCATAAAAGTAAAAATTTTTTTTTGGTACTAGTCATTACAATTTTTTTAATAAAAGAAACCACGGACAAATTATATCTAGAACAGTGGTTCTTAAACTTTTGTACTGGTGACCCCTTTCACATAGCAAGCCTCTGAGTGCGACACCCCTCCCCCCCAAATTAAAAACACTTTTTAATATATTTAACACCATTACAAATGCTGAAGGCAAAGCAGGGTTTGGGGTGGAGGCTGACAGCTCACAACCCCCCATATAATAACCTCCCAACCCCCTGAGGGATCCCAACCCCCAGTTTGAGAACCCCTGATCTAGAATGCTTTCTCCTTACCTTTTGGTGGCTGCAAGAGTCTGGAATTCTCAAACAAATGTTTCTTCTTGATAGGTAAAATGACTGTGTCCTTCAGATCTGTAATGACATCATCTAAACCTGCAATATCACTCCAGGTTACCTGATGTACAAAAACAGTATTGGGGTGGGGAAGAAGTTAATGAATGTATCATACCCACAGCCAGCAAACATAACCCTGATTCCCAGATGGCCTCCAGAGAATCTTTTTAAGAAAAAAAAAAGGCAGTATGAAATCTGATTCAAGACCATGTAAATTTAATTATTTTTATGAATAATGTTACAAAATGCAAGTTTCTCTCTATGATGCAGTTAAGATTTCTTGGTAGAAATTTATTTTCCACTTGGATACATTCTGACAATGATGAGCTTTTAAAGTTTCAAAGTTCTACATTTATGAAAATATAATTCCTAGTTGAAGGACAGATTTGACTACTAATGACACTATTAAGAGCTTCCATGTTTCACTCTGTTTTATACACATATAAAGTACCATATTTATTATAGGAATAATAGGGGGAAAATGAACCATGAATATAGTGTCTTACATGCATGCTAAGAGGGTCTACTAGATGTGCGGCAATGCTCATTTCATATTCAGTAAGCTTGACATTTTTCACCCCAATTTGCTTCATTAGCTTTTCTGCCTAGAAAGAGAGAACAGAAACAAAAACATTAGAAAAAGAAAATGGTTAAATAGTTTAAGATCTGTTTTTAAAAAGTTGCTATTTTGGGGGTTGGAAGTTAGGAGCTAGAAATGAGATAGGAAGTCATTTGTTGAATATGGCTTGAGTTCTTTGCAATAAAAAGGCATTACTGTCTATCTACTCAGTGGCCTATATGAAGCTAATTCATGGTCTCAATTTCTGACAAATGTCACATCAAAAAATTACATTAAAAATATTCTGAGTGCCAGTCACAGCAGACACATTGAAGACTGAAAAGGCATAAAGATCCTGCTCTGTCTCAGTCCTTAAGAACAGGGCTGAGGCACATTAATGGGTGGTGGTCACCGCTCCCCACAGCTCCCATTGGCCGGGAACAGGGAACCATGGCCACTGGGAGCTGTAGGGAGTCATGCCTGCAGACAGTCAACCTAAACAAAATGTCTTGCAGCCCACCTTCAGATTACCCTGATGGGCCACATGCTGAAGGTTACCGACCTCTGCAGTAGGGGGTACTCCTCCCTCTGTCTGTATAAAAGCACTGCCCCAGCATAGGACTATAAAGAACATTGCATTAAAGATGAAGTCTGTCAAATTATGCTGGAGAGTGGTCCTGACCACTTGTTATCAAACACAGAACCCACGAAGGGAGTTAACTCTAATTAGTTTGGTCAAGATGCTGGGGTAAATATACTCCATTTATCTAGATGTCCTTTGCATGAAGGCAGTATGTAAAATACAGAGTTTCAGTTGGATATGCTAGTGTTCACTTCCTGTCTTAAACCAGGGCTTGAAAAATTTACCCACTTACTAATCAAAAGACTAAACTTTAGATAGGTGCAAGAGACTTAGGAGGGAGGGAATGAAATAGCCAGGTCCAGGGCCAACACCTTGGTGAGAAACCAAAATCCACTGCTTCTCAGAAGTACTGGGAATGGGGGAGGATGTGAGACTGCTACTAGGGTGCTATCCATAGATTCTGTTTGAAGACCTTCAGCCTCTGGTTAGTAGGTAACTGAAATTTAAAACTCCAACACTCTACTCACTGAGAAGGCTTTTGTGTCTCTCTTCCCCTCTTGTCCAGAGCATCTTAGCTGCTCTAGAGAATCATAGAAATGTAAGGCTAGAAGAAACTTCAAGAAGTCTTCAAGTCCAGCCCTCTGAGCTATGGCAGAACCAAGTAAACTCAGACCATCCCTTACAGGTGTTTGTCCAACCTGTTCTTAAAAAATTTCCAATCGTGGGGATTCCACAACCTCCCTTGGAAGCTTATTCCAGATCTTAACTACCCATTTGGTTAGCACGTTTTTCCTAATATCTAACCTAAGTCTCTCTTGCTGCTGAGTAAGCTCAGTACTACTAATCCTAACTTCAGTGGAGATGAACAATTTATCACTGTCCTCTTTATAACAGCTTTTAATATACTTGGAAGACTTATCAGATCCGCTTACCCCCTCCTCCCCCCAAAACTTCTTTTCTCAAGACTAAACATGTTCAGGTTTTTAACCTTTCCTCAAAGGAAACCTGACCTAAAGCTTTTATCATTTTTGTTGCTCTCCTCCTGATTCTCTCCTAAAGTGTGGTGCCCAGAATTGGACAATACTCCAGCCAAGGTCTCACCAGTGCTGAGTAGAGCAGGACAATTACCTCCCATGTCTTATATATGACACTCCTGTTAATACACCCCAAAAACAGATTGGTTCGCAGCTGCATCACAACGTTGTGATGCAATCTGTGATTCACTATAACCCCCCCCGATCCCCTTCAGCAGTACTTCCAGCTAGCCAGTTATTCCCCATTTTGGAGTTGTGCATTTGAGTTTTTTCCTTCGTAAGTGAACTACTTTGCACTTGTCTTTATTGAATTTCATCTTGTTGATTTCAGAACAATTCTCCAATTTGTCAAGATCATTTTGAATTATAATCCTGTCCTCCAACGTGCTTGCAACCACTCCCAGACTGGTGTTATCTGCAAATTGTATAAGCATACTCTCCACTCCATTATCTAAGTCATTCATGGAAATACTGAGCCAGAACTGACCCCCTGCGGGACACTACTAGATATGCCGTGCCTCCTCCCCCCATTTGACAGCAAACCACTGATTAAAAAAAAAGTTAAGTATAGTCTTTCAGCCAGTTGTGCACCCACCTTGAAATCATTTCATCTGGACCACATTTCCCTAGCTTGCTTATGAGAACGTCATGAGGGACTGCGTCAAAAGCCTTACTAAAATCAAGACCTATCATAGGCAGCTTCCTCCTTATCTACCAGGCAATAAACCTGTCAACAAAATTAGGTTGGGTTTGGCATGGCATGATTTGTTGACAAATCCATGCTAGTTATTCCTTATCCTTATTATCTTCCAGGCGCTTATGAATTAATTGTTTAATAATTTGTTCCAGTGTCTTTCCAGGTATCGAAGTAAGGCTGTCATTCCCTGGGCCCTCTTTGTTCCCCTTTTTAAAAGATAGGTACTGTTTGCCCTTCTCCAGTCTTCTGGGACCTCACCCGTCCCCTAGAAGTTCTCACATGTAATTGCTAAGGGCTCTTAGATTGCTTCAGCTAGTTCCTTAAGAACCCTAGGATGAATTTCATTAGGCTCTGCCGACTTGAATACATCTACCATATCTAAATAGTCTTTAATCTGGTCTTTTCTATTTTGGCTTGCATCCAGTCTCCCTTGTTGTTAATATTTCTTGTGTTGAGTATCTGCTCACCATTAACCTTTTGGGGAAGACTGAAGCAAAGTCAGCATTAAACACCTCCGCCTTCTTGATGTCGTCTGTTATTAGCTCTTCTTTCCCGCTAAGTAGAGGACTTACACTTTCCTCCTCCTTTCTCGTGCTCCTATTATTTAAAGAACCTCTTCTTATTGCCTTCTGTCACTTGATAGGTGTAACTCATTTTGTGCCTTAGCCTTTCTGATTCCATTCCTACGTGTTTGTGCTATTCTTTTGTACCCCTCCTTAGCAATTTGTCCATGACTCCACTTTTTTGTAGGATTTGTTTTTGATTTTTTTCAGGTAATTAAAGCGCTCCTGATGGAGCCATACTGGCCTCTTATTATTCTTGCTATAGATCCTACATCTGCTAGGACTGCCTATATTAACTCAAATTCCCCAAAAGCTGCAGCAGTAGCATAGAATTAAACTGTTTCTTTAGTTTTTACAGCTGCCCACAAAGTTTTAAACAGCAGCAGTGAGACTGATGAGCATATTAATTTCACCCTGCTGATAACTAAGCAAAGCTATTATCAGCATAAGAGGTACAGGTGCTGTCTGCAGTCTTGAGGAAGACAACATTGCATCACTTTACATTTGGAAGGTTTTCACAACCATATGAGCTAGAAACTTTATTTTAAACTAAAGTTTAAATTTTGCAGAGACTGACAGCTTAGGCCACGGGTTCTCAAACTGGGGGGGGTCCAGACCCCACAGGGGGTCACAAGGTTATTACATGGGGGGGGAGGGGTTTGCAAGCTGTCAACTTCCACCCCAAACCTCACACTGCCTCCAGCATTTATAATGGTGTTAAATATATTAAAAGTGTTTTTGAATTTATAAGGTGGGCAGGGGGAATCACACTCAGAGGCTTGCTATGTGAAAGGGATCACCAGTAAAAAAGTTTGAGAGCTACTGGCTAAGGCCCAGATACCTGCCAGAGAAATGTTCCCACCCATTTCTACTGAGTGGGTTCTTTCAATCCCTGTCCTAAATGTGCTTCAGCAATTGGTGAACTGGCTTCTGGGCCCATACAGAGTGGTTTGTATAAAAGTGTTCTTAGAAAGTAAAAAAATATTTGAAAGTTTGGTCTTACCTGTTTCTGGGCTTCTATTTTTTGCTTCCTGGTTGGATCAATTGCATCTACCATCCATTTAATGGTAAAATAAGTTACCGCACCAAATATCGTCAAACGGAAAATTAAACCAACAACTTCATTCCGACTCAGGGGGCGAGAAAAGGCTTCAGCATGAACCATTTTGATTTAACACTAAACAGAAGTCAGAGGAAAAAAGCTTTAGACTTGCAAAATATGCACTTTATTTTCTTTTAAAAAACATTTGAGAAATATTTATCCACTTACTTAGCAGTTACACTATTTTCTATTTTTACAGTGGTGGCACAAGCTCATATGTAACTTCTTGCTAAACTAATTAACTAGTTGAATCTGGAACCTAACAACTAAAGGACACATTTATAATTGATCATATGTAAACTTATGATTCTCAAACTGGAAACAGAAGCACAAAAATTAGAGTGGAAAGGGTTAAATGCTTAGTCAACATCTGGTTTCATTTTCACCTCTGTTAGAGTACAAAAGGCAACCAGTTGAATCCTTGCTTCTATATTTTAATGTATTCAACAAGGTCCTAATTTCAGAACAGTTGTTCACTAAAAAATTTGCCTTCCTTTCAACCATACAATACCTTACTAATAGGAACATGCCATATTTTAGTTCCAAGTTTAGCGCATTCTTGTTCAGGCCTGCTGCTTTATTGCTGTGATTTAAGATTTAACAATATCAAAAATGTTGACTCAAAAAGACAAGGAAAAAGAACTACCTGTTAAAGAAAGATATAACAATATTTCAAACTTCTCCCTCTACTACTTTTGTATGTGTCTCATTGTCACGTTTTTAAGACCTGTATTCCACATTTGGGTATTAGAAAGTAGAGAATTGTAGTCTGGATCCATTACAAGACATCGGTAGTCTCGATCTGTAGACTTCCCCAGAAGGCTGTAAATGCTGGCTTTGTAGCAGACTTAACTATTTTCTATCCTTGGCTTCTCTTATCCCTTTATCAAGGGAGAAGCCAACCCTTATTCCTTGATAAAATTCCTTTAGGCCATCCAGCCTCCCTAGATGTGACCCCATATGGAGAAGTAATAAATTCTCCTGGTCCTAAAAAATAAAAAAATCAGATTAGGAATCTGGGGGTCAGTGGAAGGATACAGTCGATGGGTATGTCTACATTACAGCAGCACAGCTATGGTTCAGCAGCTTTGCCGGTGTAGTGTGGACTCCTCCTGCACAAACAGAAGGAGGTTTTTCCATAGATGTAGGTAATTCACCTCTGAGAGGTGGTAGCTAGGTGAGTGAAAGAATTCTTCTGTTGACCTAGCTGCTTCTCCAGTGAAGGAAATCTCAACCTAATGGCATCACACAGGTTGAAAAATTTTTCACAGCCCTGAGCAAGGTAGCTTGGTCAATCTAATTTTTAGGTGTAGACCAGGACTATGTGCTACTGAACAAGGAGGGTCTCAAGTCTGAAAACTTTGAGCTGCCTCATTGAACCACTGACTGCCTTCCTTTTTAGGTCTAGGGAAGTGGTCACCAACCCGTCGATCCTGGGGACTCTCCCAGGCAATTAGAAAAGGAGGACTTGTGGCACCTTAGAGACTAACAAATTTATTTGGGCATAAGCTTTCGTGAGCTACAGCTCACTTCATCGAATGCATGCAGTGGAAAATACAGGGGGGAGATTTACATACACAGACAACATGAAACAATGGGTGTTACCATGCACACTGTAAAAAGAGTGATCAGGTAAGGTGAGCTATTACCAGCAGGAGGGCGGGGGGGAGAACACCTTTTGTAGCGATAATCAAGGTGGGCCATTTCCAGCAGTTGACAAGAATGTGTGAGGAACAGTGGGGGTGGGGTAGGGGGGAATAAACATGGGGAAATAGTTTTACTTTGTGTAATGACCCATTCACTCCCAGTCTTTATTCAAGCCTAAATTAATTGCATTCAGTTTGCACATTAATTCCAATTCAGCAGTCTCTCCTTGGAGTCTGTTTTTGAAGTTTTTTTTGTTGAAGAATTGCCACTTTTAGGTCCGTAATCAAGTGACCAAAGAGGCTGAAGTGTTCTCCGACTGGTTTTTGAATGTTATAATTCTTGACATCTGATTTGTGTCCATTGATCCTTTTACGTAGAGACTGTCCAGTTTGGCCAGTGTACATGACAGAGGGGCACTGCTGGCACATGATGGCATATATCACATTGGTAGATGTGCAGGTGAACGAGCCTCTCATAGTGTGGCTGATGTGATTAGGCCCTATGATGGTGTCCCCTGAATAGATATGTGGACACAGTTGGCATCGAGCTTTGTTGCCAGGACAGGTTCCTGGGTTAGTGGTTCTGTTGTGTGGTGTGTGGTTGCTGGTGAGTATTTGCTTCAGTTTGGGGGGGCGCTGTCTGTAAGCAATGACTGGCCTGTCTCCCAAGATCTGTGAGGGATGGGTCATCCTTCAGGATAGGTTGTAGATCCTTGATGATGTGTTGGAGAGGTTTTAGTTGGGGGCTGAAAGTGATGGCTAGTGGCGTTCTGTTATTTTCTTTATTGGGCCTGTCCTGTAGTGGGTAACTTCTGGGTACTCTTCTGGCTCTGTCAATCTGTTTCTTCACTTCAGCAGGTGGGTATTGTAGTTTTAAGAACGCTTGATAGAGATCTTGTAGGTGTTTGTCTTTGTCTTTGAGGGGTTGGAGCAAATGAGGTTGTATTGTAGAGCTTGGCTGTAGACAATGGATCGTGTGGTGTAGTCTGGATGAAAGCTGGAGGCATATAGGTAGGCATAGCGGTCAGTAAGTTTCTGGTATAGGGTGGTGTTTATGTGACCATCACTTATTAGCACTGTAGTGTCCAGGAAGTGGATCTCTTGTGTGGACTGATCCAGGCTGAGGTTGATGGTGGGATAGAAATTGTTGAAATCATGGTGGAATTCCTCAAGGGCTTTTCCATTGGTCCAGATGATGAAGATTTCATCAATGTAGCGCAAGTAGAGTTAAGGGCATTAGGGGATGAGAGCTGAGGAAGCGTTGTTCTAAGTCAGCCATAAAAATGTTGGCATGCTGTGGGGCCATGCGGGTACCCATAGCAGTGCCGCTGATTTGAAGGTATACATTGTCCCCCAAATGTGAAATAGTTATGGGTGAGGACAAAGTTCAGCCACCAGGTTTGCTGTGACATCATCGGGGATACTGTTCCTGACGGCTTGTAGTCCATCTTTGTGTGGAATGTTGGTGTAGAGGGCTTCTACATCCATAGTGGCTAGGATGGTGTTTTCAGGAAGATCACCGATGGATTGTAGTTTCCTCAGGAAGTCAGTGGTGTCTCGAAGGTAGCTGGGAGTGCTGGTAGCGTAGGGCCTGAGGAGGGAGTCTACATAGCCAGACAATCCGCCACTGTGGCACAGCAGGGCTGCCTGCTGCAGCCCCACACCGCTCCTGGAAGCGGCCCTGCCTGCAAGCACTGCCCCCACAGCTCCCATTGGCCGGGAACAGAGAACTGTGGCCAATGGGAGTTTTGGAGGTAGCGCCTGCAGAGAGGGGCAGTGCGCAGAGCCACGTGCCCCCTGCCCCAACCCAGGGGCTGCAGGGGCACAGTGGCCCCTTCTGGGAGTGGTGTGGAGCCTGCCTTAGCCTCACTGCACCGCTGACGGAGGTAAGTGCCACCCAGTAGGAGGCTATACCCCAACCCCCAGCCCTGAGCCCCTCCCGGAGCCAGCACCCTGAGCCCCCTCCTGCACCCCGAACCCCTGCCTCAGCCCTGAGCCCCCTCCCAGAGCTTGCACCCCTCACCCCTCCTGCATGCCAACCCATGCCCCAGGCTCAGCCCAGAGCCCCCTCCCACACTGTGAACCCCTCGTCCCCAGCCCAGAGCCCACACCCCCTCCCAAACCCCAACCCTCCGCCCTCTGAAAGTGAGTGAGGGTGGGGGAGAGCAAGCAATGAGGGAGTGGGGGGGCCTTTGGGAAAGGGGTGGGGTAGATCCTGGGTTGCCCTTAAATTCAGAAGTGATCTTGGGTGTAAAAAGGTTGGAGACCACTGGTCTAGAGTGACTGAGTAAGAGATCCTTTGGCAACATGAACCATTTCTCCTCCATGGCTGACTTCCACACTGAGCTGACAGCCAGGGCCAAGCTGGATGATTTAGAATCTAAGTACCCTTAATTTTTTTCCCTCTTTTGGCTAACTGCTATTCAGTCATAAATGCAAAGATCCTGCAGTGATGTTAAGACAGTGATGCCATTCTGTTCTGCCTGAATGCCATACATGGATTGAGCAGACTGGAATAAAAGAGCACTACAGTTCAGTGCCTACCAGAGGACTGCTAAAGCTGGCTAACACGTTCTAAGACTGATCACTAAAAACTTTTTTTCTTTTAAAATCATCTTTATTTTTAGGAATATATTTTACTCTTAAATTTCCAATATATACTTACACATTAGATAAAGCCTGCCTTTTTAGGAGCTCAATTAACTAATTAGAATTATGTAGACAGTTTGCTGATTTTGTTAAACCTGGTTTGTTGAAGCAAAGGGAATAAAAATATTCACCCAACACCAAAGAATCGTCAATAAGATGCTTATTTAGCAATCCCTGCGTGATCAAATCACTTGCAGTGAAATACTACACTATAAAAAAAGCTTTTAAGCTGAAAACTGGCTCTTTTGTTAATTTTTCTAAACTATTTTAAGACTTTTTGCTCAACGTATTTTAATGAATTTTTCTATCAGTTCACTGAGAAAGAGTTGAGCCTTTGATTAACTGCCCTAAGAAAGTTTTGTCTGACCAATGGCTGCATTTTAATTTTTTTTTTGTTGTTGCACCATTTTCTACCTGCTTGTACAATAGCCCTCCACAAGCATACAAAACTGGGCAGCTGCTCTGGTTTCTCTTCCACTCCCAAGACATACTTTGCTTATTGGATCATTAAAAAATTCTTGACTCTCCACAGATATCCAAGCAAGAGCAAATGCTACTCTTTTCAATATGTAAGCATAGATAATAGCTGAGTGCTTTTATTCAGGTACCTTCTCTCTCTTCCATTTGCTATATTTTCCTGGTAAATTATAAACACTTTAGCTCAGGGACCGTCTTTTTGTTGTATTGGTACAGTACCTAATACAACAGGGACCTGATCCATAACTGTGGCCTCTGAGCTGCTACCACAAAACAAAGCATACTGGCAAGCACCTCACCTCAAACCCTTTTAGGCATTTCCTCCTCCTCCTAACATGGCTCCAGTGCACACCATGGATTAAATGAGGGGGCTCAAATATCTGTACTTCACAACCTTCTCTTGGAATTCCATCATCCCCTCTTTAATGAGCATGTATGAGTGCCAAAATCATTGGTAATCAAGTCTTCAGAATCTGTCACAGTAATACCAATCACCTCAATACAGCCCCTGGCTATCCTAAATTCTAATCCCTAAACAGGCCCCCCGGCTCGCTTATAATTCTTCTTTAAGTTACACATAGTTTATCACTTATATAAAGGTAAAAATGGTACTAAGAAAGTGAGTCATTTCTCCTTCCGATTGTAGTTTCATTTGCTATAAATAGCACTGTTTTTATTGTGGCAATATTGTCTGAAAAGAGTCAGAGACCACACCAAGGACATCAGGAGGTCACAAGATTAAAGGAGAGGTTGCAGCATGCCTTCTCTGCTTTTAAAACATCCAGTATGTCTCATGGGACTCTCCCCAAATAATCGGCCCAATGTCAAATGCATATAAAGACTATTGGATATATACTAGAGGGGAGGTACAGTAGCACAAACTAACTTTCCATGCAAAGAACCACTGCTTTTTGCATGAGCACTTTAGTCAGTGAGGGAAGGGTTTAATGTCATAGAAAACTCTGCCAATACATGTTAAAAATGTGCTCCACAGGAGAACTGCTTCATTCAGCATGCCCCGTTTGGAAGCATCCATGCGCATTAAACAGTTAAATTAGCTATAACAATTCTGCTTAGACTGTAAGTAAAACGTGCTAAAAACCTTGTACACCCCCAAAAATAGTACAGTACATGAGACCATGTTGAATTTTGATCCTAAAAACTCAATCAAATCAAAACATTTTTCACCTGAATCTTTACAAACATTTTTAAGTAAAGCCTATTTTCCTGCCAATTTCAGCTTTCTATCCTCCAGCTGTTATGGCACACTTTTTTAAAAACAACCCAGAGAAAGAGAGATTTGTTTTTATAATTGGTAAATTTGTTTTCCCTCACCTCTCCTCATCTAGAAACTGTCAAACCACTTTTTGTTATTATTTTACACATGCCCAAGATCACCAGTTCACCTTCAACCAAAGTCTAAACCCAGAATATTTTGACCTAATACAAGAAAGCTTGACAGTGTTAAACGGGGGGTTTATAACTGGGAAACAGATGTAACCCAACGTACATACAACAATAGTAGTCCTAACGTTTGAGCTACGGTACAGAACACAAAGTCAAATAGTTGTTGGGATACTGGACTTCATTTCTCTATGAGGGCAGATGGCATCAATTATATATGGTTTAGTCCCTATTGCAGGTTAATCCAAAAACCATGCTATAAATTTGCTAGAAGCTCAGAGGCAAACCGTTTAAAAAAAAAAAAAAAAAGGAAGAGCTCACACCAACCCCTTTCTTTAGTATTTGGGTGAGCTAAAGGATTCTCACAAGCAACATGTAGCTCTTCCCATCAGGGTGGATTTGATTTTAATCACTTGTCAGGAAGACTCGATTTAATCATGGATTTCTACCTAAAAGTGTATTCTTGTTGTTTGTTATAACCTTAATACATATTCTTCAAAACTCAGAGATAGATGAGACCCAAACAGGGTCTCTTTTAGGGCCTCCTGTCATTATAGGTTTTCCTTTCTATTGAGATCTACCATACCATTCTCTCACATCAATGAAGGCTACACTCAAAGACCTCAAGACTTCTGGAATATGTGGCTCAAACAGTTTCACTCTCGTTTCTACTGCCTGTCCCTCCCTTCTCACATTTATCTTCAGACTTCTTCTCCTTGTCCAGATATAGTCCACCTCCAACAATCTTCTAGTCATTGAACTTTTTGAAACTTTTCACTTTTAGAGAGAGGTAAGGGATTGACTCTGTGTACACAAATTGGCAAACGGACAATAGAGTTGAGGTCTGTTTTTCTCACCTTTCTTTTTTTTATTTAAAAACATTTTTGCTGTTAACAAGCATATTATCCCTGGAGACACAAATCCACAGTTTGAGAACTGCAAAACTAAGTATCTCTGATGGGATCTTCTAGACCAGGGTCAGCAACCTTTCAGAAGTGGTGTACCGAATCTTCATTTATTCACTCTAATTTAAGGTTTCGTGTGCCAGTAACACATTTTAACATTTTTAGAAGGTCTCTTTCTATAAGTCTATAATAACTAAACTATTGTTGTATGTAAAGTAAATAACGTTTTTTTAAATATTTAAGAAGCTACATTTTAAAATTAAGTTAAAATGCAGAGCCCCCGGACCAGTGGCCAAGGCCCAGGCAGTGTGAATGCCACTGAAAATCAGCTCACTTGCCATAGGTTGCCTACCCCGTTCTAGACTGAGCCCCATTGGGTAGATAGAAAGATTAATTTAAATAATCTATACAGAAGCCCCAGGAACCCCATAAGATATGGTCCCTAATCCATGAACTATTGGAACTCATTTACAAAACTTTTCTTAAACATTACATGAATATATTGTCTCATCCTACAGAATTAGAATGTATAATCCCTATTCCATGATGAGAGATCTTTGAGCTATAATGTATCTATCTTTAGATAGGTTTTTCTCTCAAAAAGCATTTTATAAAAAAAAAAATCCAATTTAAATAAAAAATCCGATTCTTCTTTTTTTTAATCCACCCTGTTTCCCATCAAGTGTGAGCATCATCGGCTGATCACGAATGTGGGCCTATGCTGTCCATGCACACCAAAATCGGTAAACTAGGAAAACACAGAAGTGGCACAGTCGGGAGACGTCAGGTCAATTCCTCGCTCAGCTGCAGACCTCCTATGCAAGCCTGTGCAAGTCATTAAATATCTACAGGCTTCAATTCCCCACCGGCAAAACAGCAGTGACATGGGGTATTGGGACGATTCAACCATATAAAGCGCCTTAAAAACTGAAGCTCGAGGAGACTAGAGGGGCACAACATTGTCGCCAGTCACTGAAGGGCAACAGCGCGGGTACCTCTCGAGCAAGGCGGCTGCTCACTCAGGAAGCGGCGCGGACGGGCGCCCCGGGGCTGCCGCAGGGGCAGGAGAGGGCGCGGAACTACCGCTGGAGGCCCGGCGGGGGCAACGGCGGGCGAGAAATGACGCAGTAGGAGGGCAGGGACTGGAGCACCCCGGCCCAGCGGGCGAGCGGCGCAGTGGCGAGGGCAGCCCCGGCGATGGTGCGACGGTGGCTGGCGAGGTGGCGGGCAGGAAGCACCGCCCCTCTCTTCCCCACGCCCCCGCCCCCGAGGCGCCGGCTGCTCCCCAGTCAGAGCCGCGGGTCAACAGGAAGCGCGAGCAAGTGCGGGAATCCTCGCCTGTGACCGGCCCGGCCCGGCCCGGCCCGCTCCGCACGGGACACTCACCCCGAGCCAGGCGGCAGCGTGAGGCGGCGGGTCACGGGCGGCGCGCGCCAGAAGGAAGGAAGTTAGGAAGGAAGTTAGCAGCCGGCCCCGGCGGCGAGTCCCTGTTAACTCCCTCCCCCAGCCCTGCAGCAGGAAGCCCCGCACAAAGGTTCCGCCTTGGCCGCGCACGGCGCCGGGGCGCGCGGCGGGTAGCCGGCGCAGCTTCCCTCCCTCCGCTGGAAGCTCACGCAGACCCGGCTGCTGCCCATGGAGGGCTGCCGGCCTCAGGGATCCCGGCAGCTGAGCGCCGCCCGGCCCGGCAATCACCCACGGCCGGATGGGCCCGCCGCTGCGGGGCTCGGCGCGACAACCTTGGACTGCGAAACGATGCCTGTCGCCTCCCCGCCAAGTCACTCTGCGGCCAGCGCAGAGCCGCCGCGCTGAGGGTGGAGCCGCCCCGCCGTGGCAGCCTGGGGCTGTTACACATTTGTACAGGTCTATACACCAGGATCGCCGTTCCGCTGCAGGTCACCGTGACTGCCCCTCAAATCCGTACTGCCTGCTGTGCCTTCTGAGGTGCCCAAGTCTTCCTGCTCCCAGTTACCCATCTTTTAATACAAAAATCATTTAAATCTGAAACTTATGGTCAAATTTAAATAGGACAAATGCTGCTGTAATAAGTAAATAATTCATTTTCATATGTAATTTTAAGTGGTACCTGGAACTGGTGCAGAATTTAGCTCTGACTTGCTGCAGAACACACTCGGCCTTGATTACTATCCATATTGTACAGATTAAAAAATGTAGGCACAGAGAGGTAAAACTAGTTGTTGAAGGTCACACAGGAAGTAACTGACAGGACTGGGAATGTTCTTTCCCAACAATTCTTTCCTAGTCCTTAGTTCTAGCATCTATATACCAACATACTACTTTCCTAATGCAATACAGATGTTTTCATACAGCCAAGTGCAAGTTACTTGATATAGATCAATTAATCTATTGAGAACAAGCAGTTAGAGGTATATAAATGATTAATGATTATGTCTCTGATCCTGCAACACTTATACACATGCTTAACTTTATGCACAAGTACTCTCATTGACTTCATTGGTGTTCCTCATGCTCATAATGTTAAGCATATACATCTTTTTAAGACTGGGACCTATTATATTTGAGTTGTGTCTTATCACATGGAGAAAGATGGATTCCATAAGCATGCTTCAGCTAACTCGCTTCCCAAATAATATGGGATAGATCCTTAGCTCATGTATCTTGTTTTAGCACCACATCACAATTTACACCAGCTGAGGATTTTTTCCTATTTAACTTCTAATTTAAAATTAACTGAAATGTTATTCCAAGTGAAGATATAGTAGCTTTATGCTAACAGTACAATAATTGTATTATTATAAACATAAACTATAATAACCCAATAAATAAAAAGTTAAAAATGTTATTCCAAGTTCAGAAAATTTGTATTTTAGTTTGTCACCAACTTCACTTCTAAGGTTTGACAGTCATCTGTCAGATTCTTCTAACATTACTCTCCCATCTTTCAAAAACATCAAATTGTTTTGATTCTCCTTCCACCCAAAAAGTAGTGTGTCCATATGGTTCACTCCCAAATCCATCAGTGGCACTTTTAGGAGTGGCACCAACAGGAGTGGCACCTGTTTCAAGTATTAGGCGTGATGGGGTGGGGTTGCTTGTCAAGAGCAAGATTATCTCCAGGGGAGAAGAATTCTGCTCCCAAAGTATTTCTCTCTCCTGCTGGCTCAGAACCCAAATTCACATCGCCTAATTGATAACGTAATTCCAGGCTGGGCACATTTGTTGTTGTTAATATTATCCTCATTTCTCTGGTTTTGATAAAGGGAAGAGACTTGAAAAATATATCTTCAGTTTTCTGACAATAAAAAAGGACATAGTTTTTTATAGAAGGGGTACAGCATCAAATCTGTGTAAGATTTTATATAGCTATTGATATATAAAATTTAAGGAAACTACTTAATCAAGAAACATTTATTATTTGTTTTTCAGTTTACTGCCTCAGCTGTCTGATTACTGCAGGACCATCCACTAGTTTAAAAAAAGTAAGGGTAAAAAGTTAAGATTTTACTACACTTACCTTCTGTGTTAGTAATATATGCTAAATAAACCTAAAAAGAAAGGTCTGAGTAGGTCTTGCCTTGAGTAAAAACTATCCATGCCTTTTAGATACAGTTGCTGTGCAATACTTTGTGAAGTCTGAAAGATGAACTAGTGAAAATCATTTGTTTTCCTTCACTCGCCTTCATATCCCTACCCCACCCCAGGCTTTTCTTCTGGTCCAAATGTTAAATTTTGTACAATTGTTACATATTGTATGTCTAGCCAACAGCCACATAAATACAACAGGTGTAAAATCAACAAAGTGCACATATTAAACAATAGGTGCCTGACCAGCAGACGCATAATAATAATACAATAGCTATCTGACTAGCAAAACCATAATAAAATAGTTGTGTGACCAGAATGCATATCAAAAACAGTTTAACGCTTCAAACACCTTATTAGTCCAAAAACATTTCTAAGCCTTAAGTGGGATACTCAATACCACATATGTAAACAATTCTATTTTGGTAATACAAAGCTATTTTTCTAGCAGAGAACAAATAATATTTAATATCATAATGAACAAACAAACTTGTGTTATAGCTTATGTATCTCAAAACTTACTTACTTGGTTTTATGCAAAGTTTCCAGAAAAAATATTCACCTTTGTTCAGACACACACTATGAGAAGTATCAGTTCAAAAGCATTTTTGACAGAAGCTGAGAGGTGGAAACAGGGACTTGCAATATAATGTTTCTTACAACCTTAACAATATATATTTCATTATTACCTTTTAATTGAAAAGACAACATAAGTGAGAGTTACCAAAGATTCTTTAGTGTGACCTTCACAAATATCTCTCCATATTGCTTTGGGGGTGGAATAATGACCTCAGATCTGGGATTCATCAGTCATGAAGTAAGGAAGTGTGGTTTGAAATGTTAATTCTCAATTCCCATAAATGCAGATTGATAGATGAGGCAAAAAATGGTTCCAGATGCTACAGTTTCCAAACTATTCATCTGTGCTCACTTTTCTCTATCTCTATAACCTGGAGCAATTTTACTGTAAGTAGGCCACCTGCATTCTCAGATTTATCTGAATATGGAAAAATGCCCTTGAATGTGTTTGGAAAATGGTGGGTTGACACTTATCCTCATTTCTAAAAATCTGAAAAAAGCTGGGTTTCTAACCCAAATAAGCAAGCAGCTTGACTACGTGATTCATACAAATATCTATGAAAAAAATATTTTTGGAAAATACCTCATTAAATAAAATTGTCATGACAAGTTACAGGATCTCCACTCTTCCATTTCACAAGTACTCTGTTGGAAGGCAGACTGGAACCCTTCCAGTGTAATTTAAATAAAGGAAAAAATGGTCTTGCAGCAAAAGCACAGAACAGTGAGCCAAGAGATTTTGGTTCTTTTCCTGGTTCTGACCTGATGTCTTGTGTGACCTTAGGCAAGTCAGTAATCATCTTTTCAGCTTTAGCCTCATCTGCAAAGTGGTGATGAAGAGATCTAACTTAGGGGTCTTGTGATGCTTAACTCATTAATGTTTGTAAAATACTTTGAGATTCTCAGATGGAAAATGCTATATAAATATGTGGAAAGTATATTTATTAACTACACTGGGAGAAAGCTTTTCCTTTAGGAGTTCATTTAAAAAAAAAATGAAATAACCATGAGAATACTTACCCCCTAATGTCTTGTGTCTCTCATGGAGCCCTGAGGACCTTCTGATTTATTACTGTGCTTTTCACCGACCTTCTACTTTCAGTGCCTTATGTCATAATTCTTCTGCTCAAAGAGAAGTATATGGAACTTCCTTTAGAACTGCAGCTGCGGTAAGGTGCTCCTCAGGACTGGATCAGCACCCAGTGGCCCAAGGAGCCATAAAAATGTCGCTTACAGCTTTCTTTGCAGCCTCTTCTCTTCCCAATCTACACTGGGCATCAGACAGCCAGTCCTGAAAATGTGGACCACTATTCCTCAGTTGTTATCTGCAGTCAAACACCTGTTAGAAATTCAGATCTTTTTCCTTGGTTTCCTAGGTCTTTAAGATATTCAAACATTATTCATCCACCAAGAAGCTATAGCGGCAGCTCCTGCTATTTATTCTTGTATCTTATTCTTGGGTATTATTTTCCCAGTTGACTCCAAATTAATTATTAAATTTCCTTTCTTACTTACATTTTTTCTTCATGTGACCTGACTCTGCAATTAGCTCTTAATTCTTTTACTTTACTTTACTTGTGGTTACTTTGTGTCCTTTTCATGTCCACTGTATCTCTCATCTTCACACACTGCCCCAATAACTCTCCTCGAGCTCCTTCCCCACCCCCTCGGCCCCCACATCTAAATGTTGTTTTCCAAAAGACTTTTCCCAACAAATACTTAGTTGCCATGGTGCATCCTGATGGAATGTTGCCAGAAGCCCCAGTCAGCTAGCTCAGAATCTTGTTTTAAAGGAAAATCATACACTTTACTACTCAACTTTTCAAACTTTTTCATATTGTGTACCACTAATAGACTGTCTCATGTATCACTTTTTCTCACATTCGCAACTGCTTGAACCACCTCCCCTTCATGATCGTGTAGACCACTTCCCCTCCATTTCCAGATCACATTACATCCCTATGGCAACTACAGCAATTGTTTACATAGAAATGTAATATTGGGAAAATATTTAATGTAATTGTAGCTGTCTTTTCATATAATTTAGCAGCTGTGAACAGGCAGGAGAACCAAAGCCATTTGACCAGTTAGCTCTTGATGGACAACTAGGAAATGCTCTGTGGACCACAGTTTGAGAACTGTCATGATATTTTTCACTTCTTGTCCTAAATTACTATATAGCGTTTCTATGTGCTGATAAACAGTTGGCCCAATTCATCTCCAAAGTGGTCAGTAATGCAATTCAGAGGTGAATAATGCAATTTCTGAAAATAGAGAAGTTTGCAAATCCCATTGGGATATCTCATGATGAAAGTCACATAAATTGAAGAATTAAAATTTTGCTCCCTCTGAGACAGAGGCAATTCTCTTTAAATCCCATCTTCCTGTTTTCTTTCATTTTATATTATTTCAACAACAATAATACAAAATAGAAGAAGTTAAAGGAGAATCTTTGTAATGAATACAAACTCTGAGGTTTTGAGCCACTTATCTGATATTGTCTTCAATAAGTCTGTCCTTGCATCAGTTTAATTTGTTTTCTTCAGTGTTTTAAAACTAGCCTGTCTCTGAGATAGAGCTGTGCAGCTCCATTTTGTCCCTACCTAGAATTTCTCATGTGCTGGAAAGGGGGTTAGTACCTCAGTCAAAACAGCCACTGACTGACTTGGGATTTTATTTCACTTTGGCTATGAAAAGATAGGTAGATTATTACAAAGTTAATAGTTTTATTATTAGATATTATTAAAAATCATCCACTGCACAGCAGTATCCGAAGCTGGAGGATTCATCCAACCTCTCCCTTTTATTAAGGGTATATCTACATTGCAAGTGAAGTTGTGATTGTAGCTAGCTAGCACGGGTAACAATAGCAGTATAGATGTGGTGGCATGAGCTTCAGCATAGCAACCAGAGTACCCAAGCGTCTCTAAGGGGTATGTCTGCACTACAAAGAAAACCTGGGCTTAGACTCAGGTTTAAGCCCAAACCTGCCTACTGTCCCCACATGAAGCCTTCTGAAATGCACCAGAAACCTCTGAAGACTCAGGCCTGCAGACTTGCCCAGGGGTATGGGTCCAAGCCTGAGTCCTGTTGTGGAGCAGATTTGAGCCCACTCGTTTTGCAGTGGAGATGTATTGGGAGCCCAGGTCACCAAGCTCATGTTCAGAGAGTCCACCAATGCTGTCCCATGATCTCCTAGGCCTGTGTTTCCTGGCCCTTCTTTGTCCAAATTTCCCACTCTATTCCCAGGAACTGGAAACAACCTCCTAGCCAAAATATAGCTGCTAAGCATTTTAACCCTTCCTTTCCACATGGACTGCTCAACTGTAAACATAGTTAACCCTATTGTGTATTAGCTATGGCCAGCACTAAGAAGAAGCCCTAAGCTAAGCATGCTGCTAGCTGGCCAGAGGAATACAGCCAGACTCTGGTAAATCTGTGATGTGAAGAGAATAAGAGCCATGACTTCAGCAAGAGCATAAAAAAGACCACCTGTACACAAGAATCTTGGAGAGGCTGGTGGCAATGGGGATCTACCAGACTCCCAATCAATGCTAGGAGCGGGTCAAGCACCTCAAGACTGCCTACTGCCAAACCATGGATGATAACCACACCTCAGGGAACTCCCCATCTACCTACCTCTTCTACAAGGAATTTGATCAAGTGCTGGGAACTGCCCCCCCCCCCAGAGATCACAGTGCTGCATGACAATCTCCTGAGCAGGTTTATAGCCCCAGAATCAGAGGCACCACTGATAGCCTGCAGCCTCTGGATAAACCCCCGCCCCCCAAAATAACTCTGTTGCTGGTACTTGTCCTGGATCAGGCTATGCCACTGGAGCAGCTTCAGCACATCCTGGGGCCATATTCAGAGAACCTCTTTGGGGACGGTCCTGAGGAACAGCCCATTGCACAAGAAGCACTAGCACCTGTAACATGCTCCTGGGAATACCCAGAGTTGTGAGCCACTGTGTTACCTCTCTGCCTCAGGAGGAGTGAGCTTTGCTGGAGATTAGACTTTGTGTCAGCTCCCTGCCATTCTGGTCTGTCTTCCTCACCCGCAAACTCCTTGAGACTCTGTCAGTCTTAACCTTGCCTAGCAGGTAACAATCAATGAACTCTGGTCTCCAAGGTTCTCAGAGATGTCTCTCTGCAACGCACAGCACATATCACTCACAGTGTTTCTCAAATGTGGCCAGTGGCCACATGCAGCCACCAAAGCCTTTTCTTCTGGCCACAGCCTTCAGGGTGGTTATTCGGGGGAGGAGGGGCAAAGTAGTGGCCCTTCTCTCTGGAGACACAAAGGAGGAGCAGGCAGCCAGTGAATTCCCCACCTTTCCGGGGACGGTGGGGTCTGGCTTTCACCCTGGGGTGGCAGATGGCAGGCTCCAGCCAC